ACTTCGCGGTACGTCCAATTGATTATCCAGCTATAACACATTCGTTCCGTGATATTTTATTTTAGTCGCAAAGCTATAGATACATGTGGTGAATGCCAAATGCTGATCTTGTACGGTCCAGGTCCAATCCGGCGGTTCCTTCGATGTCGACTACGTTGTTACCGCACCGGGCGGCAAGGTCGTCCTAGACGGCACAAAGGAGCGACAGGGCGACTTTGTCTTCACCGCACAGAGCGTGGGCGAGTACACCTTCTGCTTTAACAATGAGATGTCCACCTTCGCCGAGAAAATGGTCGACTTCGAGATTGCGGTACATTCCATATCCACCCCGAGGAAGCGTCAACAAATGCTAATCGAGCAATTGAACCTATAGGTCGAGAACGAACAACGCGCCCAACTGCCCTCCCGCCAGGGCGCTAGCCCCGAGCAAACATCCAGTCTGGAGGAGTCCATCTACAAGCTGTCTGCGCAACTCTCTACCGTCTCTCGCAACCAGAAGTACTTCCGTACACGCGAGAACCGTAACTTCAGTACCGTGCGCAGTACCGAGCGCCGGATTTTCAACTTCAGTGTGATTGAGTCTTTGATGATGGTTTCCATGGCTGCGTTGCAGGTCTTTGTTGTGCGCTTCTTCTTCCAGGGTGCCCGAAAAGGTATGCTTACTTGTCCCTTGTGTTTGTGGGTTGGATATAGGCGCAAGTCATGGTCGACTTCGGACTGTTTTGCCGCTGTCTATCCTATTTGGAGGATTTGTATTAACGTTCTTCTAAAACAGGTTACGTGTGATGTGAGCATGAGCATGAACAATAATATGATGCATTTTACTATACCTATGTCTGGCGTGTTGGCCTAGTTATTTCTGTTGAAAAATCTAAGAAGTTCTTGTCTGTCTAGACCAAATATGGAAGAAATACTTAGTTGGCCTCAAGAAGCCATGTTGGCCCGTTTACCGTATGGCATATCAAAGGAAAGTAATTGGGTGAATATTTGGCTTCTAAAGCAACTTGGGCTCAAGCTGAAGGTCTACCATGTTGTACTGGGAAGGGAGGGGACTTAGATCTCACCAAGGGAAGATAGATTGACACATCGACAGGATCGGACAAAAACACCGGGGAAGCGTATGCTCAAGATTCCCAATGGTATACACTGTACACCACAAGCTCTACTTCCCACGCTCGCGAGGATATAACCGGTTTTCTCTGAAGGACGTCTCCAAGGGGGAGACGGTCTGTCATCGCCAATATCAATGAACACTGAACCCCAGCACAGCTAAGGAGGCGATGGTGATCGTTCATGCATGCTGCATGCTGCATGTTCGCAGGGGTAGAACCGGTTTCTGTCCAAAAGAAAGTTTCCATCGGCGAGCCTAGATGGTCTATCGCGGAATCAAGATCGATAAACCAACTGCTGGTGTATTAACGTTGTGCCGGTCCCGTTCTCGCACCTCTCCCGACACCTATTATTCCAGATGACCGCGCAGCCGGGGAAGCGGGTAGCCAATGCTTGCAGAAATGGAACCTGTTTCTAGAAGATGGATAATCAGTATCCTGACAGGATGTGGATGTTTTACAACGTACCTTTCAGACTAGACCACACAGCAGTGGAACACATCATGCCGAATGGGTTTGAACTGGATCCGTACGTCAGTTAGACGTTGTCTTCTCCATATATGATGCCAGAAAATATTGTAAACACAATTCAGGAAGCATCGATGGACCATGACATGTCAAGTGCCGTCAAGATAAGCGCTAATATTGTACTATCGAGGTCAATATTTAATCCAAAAAACAGGTTTCTGGCTTCTCGCTCTGGCCCGCTATAACGAACGCGCAGCGAATCCAGAGACATTCAATAATACGTGGAGATGGTGTTGATGCGCAGGGGCATCGTGGTAGGACCCTATGACGTGGTAAGAACTGCTGCATACAATCAAACTGCTCCGAGTGATCTCATATGCTCGCTAAAATAGATATACAATGTACCTATGCCTCGTGCTCCCTTGGCCTACAACATACAGTAAATTATATGGATCGCTGTCAGAAACTAAGGTGTGATATCAAATTGTTAATCTCAGGTAGCGGGATGTTTCAATTGATCGACATGCAGTACGGAGTCATACAATGTGTGTACGGTATTTGGCTCGGGGCAGTCTGAGGCTTATCATACCCCTGTGGGTTAGTATGTGGCTTAGGGTTACAGACCAAGCACGAGATGGAATGGGAATTGAAGAGAGTGGACCTTGAAGACCCATCTATGAAGTTGGTCATCCATTGATTTTTTACAGCCAGGAAAGGACCCTCCCACACTAGTCTCTAACATGTTCGGGTGTTGATACAACAAACGTACATTACACATAATTGTATCCTGTCATACGAGAGACCCTTGATGTGAACTGCCGGCAGTATGCTTCAAGCCCCATCAGACTATGTTTCAAAAGGGGACTGAAGCACACGGTGTACCCCACGGGCTTTTCTACTTTCAACGTCGTGCGAAATTTAGGTAAAATCTGATATCATATTAACACTATAATCTCCCTACAATATAGTATGTACCATTGTCTCTTTAATCTACTCCATACATTCAAATTATTATACGATTAGCCCGCTACAATATAATATATAATACAGACTTTTGTACTTAGACCGGCGCTAGCTAGAATATAGTCATTAGACTGTTTCTGTCTTTTAAGTCAGGTCTGGGCTGAAATTATAGAAGGCCGATCATGACTATAAACGACAACATAGGTTTTATTTGAAAGCTCGTCTGACGTTGCTATATTTCTTCTGCCATGGATCATGCCTCGTGGCAAACCATACCCTAGATGCTGGATATATGACCCGACTTACACTTATGTCATTCTAGTACTACGTAGTGCATCATCAAGTTGAATGAAATGTACAACTATTGTCCAGGAAAATTGTATGTGATGGCCCTGATATATTCAGTGTAATGCGAATCTTGGAACATTTGCCTTTCCCGCTAGTATCAACTTCCAGTTTTCATGGATGCAATACAACATACATAACTCTCTCCACACTAGTCAATGCACGCCTCTGCCACTAGCTCCCATGCACCGTACCGATCATGCAGGTCGATCTCTTTTCATCCAGAAACAAGTTTTGAATCCAATAAAGTGGAACTACATCCATTTCCATCTCTGGAACGCAGTTTGGTCGCGTGCATCGGAGACTCCGTGGACAATGGGATCTCTTAGTTCTACTACGGTCGCCGAGATTCATCTGTCTTGGTTCAGATGGATTTGTAAATATCTACAATATAGAATAAGAGTTGTGAAACGCACTGAAAATGAGGGCTCCCTGACGTCAGGTGCCCATTTTGCCTCAGGCATGAGTCCCCAACCTTGGAAAAACACTAGTTCATCTCCACAAGTTTCCATTTTCCTCTTTTGTCTACGGTTTTTTCTACGAATAAAACAAATCTGATAATTAATTAAACCTTCTTAAACTGTGTCTCCACTGTGGCTGCAAGTCTCGCATGGCTCTGATACGAAAGATTCTGTTTCCGCAGGCTTTCCGCAAGCTCACTGTCCATGGAAGACGCTCTCTATCTGTCCCACTTCTGATAACCATATCAGTTTCGGCCGAGCGTAACTCCCGATCGTCTGAATTCGTTGACCATTTCCATAACCGGCGATCCTACAATGTGGTTGATGACCGATAACAAATCGATTGCTCGGCTCGCCCCGATGTCTAGGGGGTATGACGGCATAGCTTTGTTCTAAGCCTCAGCTACGCCCGAACCCTTTTTTTCCCTACATTTTCTACTTTTGAGTCACACAAATTACATTGGTTTTGTATGCATATCGAGCTGACTATCGGTTTAGTTTGGATCGATGTATCCAGGCCTCTGCTGCAGCCCCATCCTGATATGTGGAGTAAACGTGTTTTTTTACCACTCATATCCATCAGTGATCTCCTCTTTCCTAAATACACCCTATCCCGTAATGATGCAGAACGCGAGATACGCCTCGCCCCTCAAAAAGCCAATGATAATCCAATTATGATTCGTCCTGTAGATGTCAGGCTAAGATCTGCAGGGGACCGGACGTGGTTTCGCTGATCTCAAAACGCCTTCGGCTCCCAATGGTTCACATTCCCCAGTGACCTCATCGGAACACCGTGACCCATTCATGAGTGGAACATCGATGATATCCCTCCTGGAATTTACCAGTCTCCGTGCGCATGTGGATATTAGTTCCTAACGTCCTCTGACGGTGAATTGGCTCCACATCATGCTCTAAGACGTACTCAATAGGTTGGCTATTATCACCTAGGAATATGTTGTACCCTGAGGCTGGGGGTTTATGATGCTTCTTATGATGTCGCCTAGGAGAGAATATTCCACAACCCCTTTCGGCCAATTATGTCACCGTGCTCCGCTCCGTGTAATGGAGAGATTGTGTATTTACCGTGGGCGCGAGAAGGAGAAATTTGGCAGGTTATTGGCCTATCAGAGGCTGCAAACTTGGGTGCATTTGCCATCTTCGACCACCGATGTGATTTCATACTCCCTTGTGGAGCCTGGCCGTCTTATATATCACCTGCCTCGCAAATTGGATCCAATTGTTCTTCGTATACGCCCTAACTTCTAAACCTGCCCCATAGCACTTTCCCCTTACCATTTTGTATCCTTGACCCGAAACAACATACACTTTTTGACTTCCCACGACACATTATCTTGCACTCCGCGACTCTCTCGGTACCATTACTATCCAACACAACCGGACAAACTGATTAGATCTTGAATTTTTTTTAACATAGGTAAGCAATCTCCTAGTAGCTGGGATACTAATGCCGTCTGGATTACCCACGTACCCATAATCCGCCCTACACCTCGACGGTGATCGTCGTATACATCAGCTTTATCCCTATGGCGTGGCACGTTATAACATACACACACCACTCATCATGATGCTATTGATCGCTTGATGCCTATTCTTGAACTTAAACTGACTGTTTTGCATCTAGACACTTTCCACCATGACTCAAGCCGTTCAAATGCAACAGCCGACTGAAAACCTCGACCCCATGTTCACCAATTCTGGTAGTGTGGACAATATGGCCAGCGAGACTCACGTCGGAGCATACCAGTCACTGGATCCTTCTCACTCCTCACTGGAGGACTACAACCGCTCCATGCTGCAGTACACCCAACGCCAAATGTCTTCCTTCGTCGACATGGACGATTCTCGTCGCGGAAGCCAGAGCAGCGGCAAGAGTGGCTCTAGCCACGCCGCTAGCAGCAGCAGCATATCCCGAAAGTCCAATGGATCTTTCACATCCGCCGGCAATGTCGAGAACAAGCTCAGTGGGCGCGACACGGCCGAGGCTAAGTCTCATGGATATTAGGGCTGTGCCCTGTATCAAAGTATGCATCTACTTTCTTCTTGGTGGCTTATGCACGAAAAGGCTAACGAATGTCTTTATCAGCAGGTGCTATTCCACACAAGACTGTGATCTAGCATTATAACGAAACCTAGCATTGGCGAGGACGGCCCTATGGGACTACAACCGCTTCTCCTTTCCGTCAATGCCTATATGGAGTTTTATTGGATTCGCGCAGCATAGCGTGCCTGCTTTCAAGCGATTATGATTTTTGGAGTTTTGTTTCTATATGCCCTCAAGAGACTCGGCGTTGCGAAATGATCATTTCTCAACCCTACGCCTTTCTATCCACTTTACATTGGCATAGCATTTTCAGGACACCAGATCACGCATTGTTTGTGTTTTCCAAAGAAGCTCTTGACTATCTTGATCTTTGTCATCTGTGGCCATTTTGGAGTTGCTGTTGGACTGAGGGCAGTCTATAAACGATATTTCATTACCGTTTCTAACTCTCGAACACTGTCTGTCCATTCTCCTGGAGTCTGGGTATGGGATCTTCTTCTGTTGATATTCCTTCTGTGAAGGAATATCGGTCTGTACATCATGTCTTTGTACTTTGCGAGCGATTCATTTTTCTATCTTTTGGTTTGCGTGACGATCCATCTCTCCGAGTCGAGGATACTGGTCTGTCCCTCGGAGAACAATACCCTGTTACGATACCACCTAGCCATGTTGGCTATGACCTGTACAATTATGCGCTATCAAGACGGAGTAAAATCTGTCTTTTTCTACTATTTGTAAGCTTTCGTTTCTTTTGGCTGTATAGAGATCGTAGCACCGCTTACGGAGTACAAATCCGGCTTTTTCTATTTCATGTATTTCTTGATATTGGGTTGGTGGCTGAAACGAGGCTTATATTCTGAGACAAATTGACGTCAGTATCATTGTGGCTTGAAGAAGACCTTCTGGCCAGGTTTAGACCCTTTTTGGCTTGATCTATAGCGTCTATTCTAAGTTCTGGACTATCTTTCTTAAGGTTCGATCTAGTTCCTAGCCTTTTGGTTGAACTATATATATTCAATGTGATTTCAGTGGAGATTAGCCAACCAAGCATGTAAATTGTGTATAATATATTTATATATATGACAAGACTGTAGGGAACAAGGCAAATCCAGGATATTGATAATTAGTACAAGCCACAGTCGAGGGGGGAAGATTCATGATGTGGTGGACTTTTCATGTTACATAGTATTCATGGTTGGCGTCAAACCCTTACACTTGCAACAAACATTTTTCATTTTTATGGAGCGCGCTCTATTAATTCATTCACCTAACATTTATATATAAATGAAAACAGTAAGACATGAATCCAATAAACACAATTCTCACGACCCAATCACCCGGAACAATTGAGCAGGCGTACGCTCCAACAGCACCTGCCGAACAGTGATATTAATCCCTTTCTCCCCCAGCAACCACGCCAGTCTCACCGCATCAGCCGAGGACGCTCCCAGATCAAAGAACGATGAGTCCGGGTAAACAAGATCCGCATTGATACCAAGACACGTTGCAAAGCCCTCGCGGATGGCCTCCACGTATTGCGGCTCAGCCTCGCATGAAATGGGATCCGAAGCCCGGTACAATTCCACCGGACCATCAGGAATAACTACGGGGCGGTGAACCTCAGAAAAAACGGTAGATACAATCTCCTCGACATTCTTCTGTTGAACCATGAGAGCCAAGACCAACTGGAATGCCGAGATCAGATATTCGCTGTCGTGGGAGGTGACGATCGCCTCGTCGTGCTCGAGCACCATGGAGATCTCATCTTTGTTTTGGAAAAATTCAAATAACACGGGGAATTTGGCCCCGCTTGGTCGGATATTGAAGGGTTGGCCGAAGGGCTCGTCGATAGAGTCGGCAGCAGGATGGAATGTGACCATGATCTCGGCAAGGGATTCGGTGATGGAAGGTTGAAGTTGGAGAGCTTTGCAGAGGGCCGAGAAGGGGATTGCGTGGGCGATGGCCGATTGCGAGGCTTGCTGGACGGACTTGAGGAACTCGCGTAGGGAATTGGTTTGTTCCCATTGCACGCGGATGGGTACACGATCCAGGAGGCAGCCAGCCAGGGTCTCAGTCTTGGGCTCGTTGCGAAGGGAGTATGGTGCCATCATGATAATATCCTGACTGTGGCGAAGAGTTTGGGTTGCCATGGCCACTGCAGCGAGCATGAACTGATGAGGGCTCAGGGTCATATTGGTGCACAGCTTGAGAATCGGCTGGGATAGAGAGGATGGAATAGTCCATGACTTAAACCCGCCTTTGTAGGATCTTGGTCGATGGAACTGGTTCAGACGGCCTTGGAGAGGTGGACTAGCGAGGTATGTCTTCCAGAAGGAGGATACGCTGTCTGGGAATTCCTGGGGTGTTGACCATGCTGTCCAGTCAATGTAGGTGCGCTTTCCTCTGATATCTGTGAGGTGGAATCTCCGATCGGTGAAATCTCGCTTTGACAGTGCATTATGCCGGGCTGCGAAACTCTTGATAAATTCGCTCATCGTGATGGCGTCGCCAACTAGATGGGACATGAGAATAACCAATGTCACTTCAGTAGCGGAATGCTGATAGACGTGGGCTTGAACGGGCTGTTCCGTTTCGAGGTCGAACTGATAATTCCTGGCAGCATCCAAGAATTCGTCGAAGGACAGGTCACCCGGCGTGAATCGACGCATGGGAGCCGGGGTGGGAACGAGTTTCCGGACAAATTTCCCTTGGACCTGTTTGTAACGCGACAAGAACACCTCACGATCTTTAACAGATTCCTTGAATGCCTGGTCTAGAACTTCGATCCATATGATCTTGTCGAAGGTAGTCGCGAACATGATATTGAGGGCAGGCGAAGACCCAGAAAGACAGTCGTTGATCAAAAATTCTTCTTCCAGGAACGACACAGGCAAGTCTCCTTCTCTTGACACACGTTTGGTCGATCGGAAACTCTTTCTTGGCTTGCGGTCGCTCTGAGCAAGAACTTCATTGTCAATTGCTATACTCAGCTCCTGAAGGATTGGATACTGGATGACCAGCTTCAAGGGGAAAGCAATGTTCAAGGTCTGGCTCAGACGCTGTGCCACCCGGATTTGCAGCAGTGAATGGCCTCCAATAGTCAGGAAATGATCGGTAGCACTTATCTTCTCCGTCATGGGGGAGTCTCCTAGAAGCTCACGCCAGATCTGCCCAATGAGCTTTTCTGTTTGAGTCGCTAGTGGTACAATAGCGCGTGCTGAGGATATGCTAATTTCTGCCAACTTCTTGCGATCAACCTTATGATTCGGTGATATTGGCAGGTCAGCCAGAGCCGTGATGTGTGCTGGAATCATATGGGGCGGAAGATTTTCCTTGATCCTCTCCTGTAGCATAGAAACATCGACGGAGATTGGAGTGACAAAAGCGACGAGAAGGTCTCCTGAAGGAGGAACCACGACAGCAATGTTTTGTACTTCGGGGGCGAGGGACATAATAGAAGCTTCGATGTCCCCAAGATCAATCCGGAAGCCGCGAATCTTGAAAAGATCGTCTTCTCTTCCAATGTACTCGATGTTCCCATCCCGCATCAATCGTCCCATGTCGCCGGTCTTGAACATCATAGATCCCTGGGCAAATGGATCAGGCAGAAACGCAGCTGCTGACTGAACAGCATTGTTTCGATATCCAGGAGTCACTTGGATTCCAGAAATATAAATCTCGCCCTTGACTCCTAGTGGCACAGGCCGTTGCCGCTTGTCGAGGAGATAGCAACGCGTTCGGGGCACTGGCTTGCCGATGCTCACCCGTTCATCAGCTCCATCGAAGCGTTTGTACGTGACAAAAAGGGTACATTCAGCTGGGCCATAGCAGTTCTGGACTATTCTACCCGGACGCCATTGATCGACAAGGTTCTGGTGAAGTGCCTCTCCCAATAGGAAAACCACCTGCAGGTTCTGATAGTTTTCGGGCTCCAGAGTCGCCAGAAGAGAAGGCGTCGCCACTGTCGCATCGACAACGCTCAAGTGTGCTAGCGGGTCATTCATGTTTTTCAAGACAAGTGTTCCCCCAAAGCACATAGCCGAGAAGACTTCAAGCACGCAGCAGTCAAATCCGAGCGCTAATGTCTGAGCAATACGCCATCCGGGCTTAGAGTATAGCCTTCCTTCCGGTGATGAAAGCAGGGACATAATGTTTTTATGAGGCAGCTGCACTGCTTTGGGGATACCCTTGCTTCCCGATGTGAATATGATCACTGCAATATCGTTCTCCTCAATATCACGGGAATCGTGATTTTGTTGCGCGGTCGTCCGGGTGATCAGGCTCTCTGTGTCCCACACCTTGACATCTTCCAAGAAGGTGTATTCTGAACACATGGTAGCACGCGGGAGTAAAACTAGTTTAGCAGAGGCTGCTTCAATCATGTGCTGTTGCCGCGCCTTGGGAAATTTCACATCAATCGGACAATATGTGCAGCCGGATTGAATAACAGCGAGGATTGCCACTAGCCATTCAATGGATCCGTCGCTGATAATGCCCACCACGTCTCCTGGGCTAGTCACTTCGTTGATCTGAGAAGAGACAGCGTCGACAAAACAGCCCAGTTGCTGATATGAGAGTGATCTAGACTCTGATGCCACAGCACAAAGATTCGGGAAGCGGCTGAAGGACTCTTGAATTGCCATCTGGATTGTATGTGGCCCATCGAATGTTTCAACATCAACGTCCATTGCATCATTCTTTGATAAACTGTCTGCCGGTAGAGTATGCGGCTCATACCAGGGGTTGAAGATGTTCGAATTGACCTCGTCAAGAGAGCATTGTGAGTCTGCACGTACGATGGCGCGGACAAGACTATGGAATTGCTGGAGGATTTGAGTCGCCTGGTCTCGGTCGTAAGACTGGCAGGAGTACAGGAGTCTCGTTTCGAGAATTCCATTGGATTCGTTGACCAACACGGTCAATGGCAACTCGGTCGACTCTCTGAATTCCACATCTATCGGAATCATCTCACCACTTTCTGCGGGGCCGAAACTAGGGAAGTGATACTGAATAGCCAATACAGTCTCAAAGAGATCACTGCCCTTGATGCCAGAGGCTTCATGGATCAGTGAGTGGGTGGAGTACTGTACATCCAAAAGCCCGTGCAGAGATTGTGAGACTGTCTTCAGCAGATCACCTACACTGCTCTTATCAGTGTCGACACACAGAGGCAGCGTGTTAATAAGAGGTCCAACAATATTCTCAATGCCATCAATCGGGAGACTCCTTCCGGCAATCACAGCTCCTAGGGCGACCTTTTCTGAGTCGCAGTATCGAGACAGAAGCAGTGCCCATGCAGCATAGATGAGTGTTGAGGAGGTGACACCATAGCACTTCGCGGCCTCCTCCAGCGCGGACACCGGGAGGCCAAGCGACTCATGCACATCGGCCTGCGTGGCACCCTTGACCAGCGGTTTGTTGCCATGAGCAGGAGGAGCAAGGAGGAGTTTCTTTACTGGAAGATACCCATGGGGTATGGACTGCCAGTACTGGAAAGCCTGCTTTTCTGATTCCCGGGTCAGTTCATTGAGCAGGCGAGCAGCATCACTAAATTGAGGATACTCCTGGGGGAGTTCTCCGTGGTTTAGCGAAGTTCTCAAGTCTCCCAGAAGCTTTGCTGCCGACCAGCCGTCAATCAAGCTATGATGCACAGTCCAAATAAGGCGAGTGCGATGGCCGGGAATAGTGATGAGACGGGTGGATGATAGAGGCCTTGTGTCGGAGGAAAGGGTTTGGCTCCACTGATTCATATCTATCGCCTCCTCACACATAGTGTCCCAAAGGTCTTTAGAAACGACGTTTTCCTCCCAATTCAAATGAACATCCTCATCAATGACTTGAACACCGTCTCCGACTGAGAGATCCCAGGTCGTTCGAAGGATTGTATGTGCCCGGTAGATAGCGTTCCATGAATGCCGCAAAGTCTTGGATATTCCGTGAATACCTCTGTGTTCGAACGTCATTCCAATTTTGATATAATGCAAAGCTGGAGATTGCATTGTGGCCCGCACCATGCGTAGTTGAAGATCTGTCATGGGAGCATTGCCCTTGTTCGAAGACAATGAAGTAGAGGAACTCTCTGCGAGCAATGTGAGGGTCTTGGCAACTTCCTCTACAGTATCTCTTGCAATAATCTCGGTGACGGAAGTCGTATATCCTAATTTGCGGAGGGTCGAGACTAGACGCACTGCATCGAGGGAATGACCTCCATTCTGAAGGAACGAAGCATTTGGCCCATTAGAAGCCTCTGATAGGCGTAAAACAAGGGCGAAAGCCTTTTTCACAGCCTCGAATGGGGATAAAGTAGTAGAGGGCGAAGGTGATTCAATCGGATCCATATCCAACTTCTTCACCTCTGTTTCATGATGTGACTGGAGGAACTTGCGGTCAGTCTTGCCGTTGGCGGTTTGAGGGAATTCATCTAACGCGTAGATTTTATCCGGCACGAGGAATGTTGAAAAGTTATCACTGAGATATTTTCTCACGGCATTGACATCGACCGTTGGCGTGACAAAAGCCACAAGAGAATTCTCGATCTTCATCGCCACAGCTGCAGTAAGCCCCGGGAACCCGAGGATAGCAGGCTCGACCTCGCCCTCCAGCGCAATTAAAAAGCCACGGTTCTTCACCATGCTGTCCATTCGTCCTCTAAAAACATAGCCGTCTGGGGTCAGACGAGCCAGATCTCCAGTTTTGTAGAATCTTTCTCCGTCGCGGGTAACAAAAGCCTTGTCCGTGGCTTCTTTGTTACCATAATATCCAACGGCAAGACCCATGCCTCCAACGAATATTTCACCCTCTTCCTCGGTGGTCTTTCCGTCTGAATCCACCAGGATGATATTGCTATACCAAATCGGCCAGCCGACAGTAATGGGACCCCCTGGAAACAGCTCACTCAACAAGGTGGCACAAGTGGCCTCAGTTGGGCCATATGCGTTGAATATGCGACGGCCTGGTCGTGACCAGGCCTGAATCAATGCCGGCGCAGGAGTTTCACCGCCCATGTAGATAGCCTTGATGTTGTCATATCCATCGTCGGGATCCAGGGTTGAGAGAATGCTGGGTGTGAGTGGCAGCACAGTACATGTTTTGACAGTGGCTGTGAAGGTAGCCGGATTGGCGAGAACTAATGTGCCACCACTCGTTATAGTACTGAAAATGACCCCGACGCATGCTGGTGAATTTTCATATTAGCTTTATCTCAAGGCATACCCAGCAGGAAGAAAATCTCACCGTCGAACGCAATAGATACCACGCACAACACACGGGAGTTGGGGTTATAGCTCAGGTTGAAAGGAAGGTCTGGGTCACATTGCCTGCAATATGCAGTGATCGATCGCATGGACACCATAACACCCTTCGGCTTTCCTGTCGTGCCTGAGGTAAAAATAACATACGCCAACCGATCAAGCCGAGATCCAGGAGGTTGAAGAATATCCTGACATGAATTGGGCCGATGCTCCAGAGCTGTGACTGAGGACGAAGCTAGCATCGTCTTCCACGAGGACATATTCAGCACCTTCCAGTGTCTCGGTTGGATAGTGGATTGCGAGTTTGTCGAGACAATTAGACGTGGTTCAATTTGTTGTAAAGTCATTTGAATTCGATCTTGTGCCCAGGTGTCGGCATCCATGGGTACATAGCATGCTTCACACTTTAAGATTGCTAATATGGCGATCAATGCCTCCGGGCTGCGGCCAGACAACAATGGGATGGCGTCTCCGGATTGAACGCCATTGTCCTTCAATTTTTGGGCAAATATATTCGAGCATTCATCTAGTTCTCGATACGTCACTCTTGGCGGGTTTGTGACTGACTCCGTGCAATCTTCAATTGCAATGGACTCTGGGTGTGTAGCAGCCCACGTCTGGAACAGCGATACCAGGTCGACTTCCTCGTCGTTCAACATTCTGTTAACTAAGGATACTGAATGATTCGTGGTGGAAAAATCAATGATCGTACGCCGTTTCGGAAATCTCATCAATTTTAGGCTAGAAAACGAAGGTATTTTGTGTAAGAGTGACTCCCTCAAATCGGCGCAAAATCGCGGCGGTTCATTCTCGGGCAGTCCAGAGCCTCACCCCGTAAGATTATCACGATTACCACACAGCCTCGGTCTCACTATTAAGCGAGTTATACTTGTTCTGGATTCAGCCCCCATTTCTAGAAACAGCCCCCTCTGACATAAACTAATCAGATTGAAGATTCGGATGGAAATTTCGGAGAACGTCTCACTAAATAGACAGCCCCCCGAGACTAGGGCCCGGGTGCTGGTCCTTAGAGGTAAATCACGGATATATAATCATATACTTGAAGAAATATATATCAAAGTGAAAACACCATCAGTCATCAACCTCAATTTGAGTCGACTAAAGATTTAAAGCCACCGAGAGAAACACAATGCTGTCCATTACTCCACAAACAGTGACACCGTTCACTCCGCATAGCATCAAGGAGACTGAAGCCAGTGTTTCTGTCGAGGAAATACACTGGGCCTTTGAAAACTCGCCCTATGGCATTCTTAATGATGCCCTTCAGTTTCCCGATGAAGACCAGCGCTTCTGGTGGGGGGTAGTGGCTCCAACCATTCAAGAACTCATGACAAAATCCGAGTATGACATCGCTCATCAATACCAGCACTTGATCTTCATTTATCGATACATACTGCCCGGACTGGGTCCACGCCCCAAGCCAGATGGTCAGCCTCACTGGCACTCATTCATGACCGACGACTTCACTCCCCTCGAGATCAGTGTCAACTTCCATGCGGGCAAAGCTACCGTTCGCTTCGGCTTTGAGCCAATTTCTGATCTGGCCGGCACTGAAAAGGATCCCGCGAACCGGCAAGCAAGTGAAGTCTTCCTGGGCAAACTTAAGAATGACGTTCCTCTGGGGGTCAACCTGGGCTGGTATCAGCACTTCGCCCATGAATTGTTAGTCGCCCCGGAGAACCTGCCAGCCGTCTTGGCCAAGTTCCCATCCGATGAGCACCAGACTCAGAACATGTTCGCCTTTGGCTTCCGCGCAGGCCAAGCCCCGATGCAGGCATATATCATGCCATTGCTCAAATCGGCCGAGACGGGCATTTCCCCAAACCGCTTGATCTTCGATTCTATTCTGAAGCTCGACCGCGTGGATGCTCCACTTGCTCCAGCCCTAGGCCTTATCGAGGCATACATGGCATCACACCCAGAAGTGCGGTCAGAAGCCGTGGCCTTCGACTGCATGGACCCACGCGACTCGCGCATTAAGCTCTACCTGCGGGCACCACACACCTCCCTAAGCCAGGTACTCGACGTCTATACACTGGGAGGTCGACTCAAGGACGAAGCTACCGTCGCTGGCATCGAAATCCTTCGTCAGCTTTGGCCTCTTTTGCTGGATGTACCTGCGGACTACAAGGAGGAGGATCCCTTGCCAACCAAGAATCACCGCACTGCGGGATTCCTCTACAATATTAATCTCCGCCCGGGCAAGACATACCCAGAACCCCAGGTGTATATCCCGGTTAGGCATTATGGAAAAAGTGACATGGCAGTTGCGCAGGGTCTAGCGACGTATTTCCGTCGTCAGGGATGGAATAGTCTTGCTGATTCGTATCCAAAAGACCTCCAGGCTAGATTGTGAGTTTTCTGCTAAGTATGATTTTTACCATTGGGGGCCATTGCTAATCAGTAATCTTACAGCCCTTCACACTCGCTCGACACTGAGCTAGGAACGCATACCTATGTTTCATATTCCTACAAGAAGGATAAGGGCCCATATGTGACAGCTTACTATTGTCCTCGGGTCTACTCACGACCATCGAACTAGTATGGTGTAGTCCACGGGTGGCTTGTGAAAATTTTCTTTTTCTCATTTTATTTTATCTGATTTGTCATAACATGCCAAGATCTATAGATCCATGTCCTTCAGCTAGCTTTCTATTTTTTTTTTTTTTCACCTCATCTTTTCTTCTATTCATGCTGAATGTCATACGGAGTACTCCGTACTTAAAAATGTAAATCTCAAATCTACTGCCCCCTGAAAGCTTGCATTCGGTCCTCATTTTTCGCTATCTTCATGTAAGCCATGTCTATTTAACATCAGTAAAAAACCGTGTAGTTTCTAGCCCCCATGGTTATTTGATTAAAGTGGACACTTCTGCTAGAATCCCCTGGTGAATGCGGGTAACTGTATTAGGTAATTTCTTTGCGAGGAGGTCAAGATTAAGACAGGCAAAAGTACGGAGAGGGAGGTCCAGACCTGAAATTCAGCTGAAGTTACGATATTGGTCGATGACCTAGTGGAGGCCATTGAAGAGCTGACTTGCTAGCTTACTCAAGAAGGAACGCTAATGCATGCAAGCACCTCATTTCTCCTGGGCTACTTTGGCATCTTAGTCAGATCAATTTTACAAATTCAAGCAAATTTGTCGCTTTTAAGTTTACGGAGGACTTCAGGCCCACCATGCGGGAATCGTTGACCTTGTCAACTCCCGTGCGGGACCACGGTGTCAGTCTCGTGGGAGGACGCCCACGTGTAAACAGTGCCAGGATATAGAAAAACATTGCATAAGTGATATGCATGGATAGCTAAACATACAATATTACCAGGTTTTCTGATTAGCAGTTTGCCGAATAGGAAATGCTTGGCATAATTATGTAAGTATCGGACGATACCGAACTACCTATGGGAGTTATCCGTTGATCCGCCTTAAACTTTCCAATCACTAGAGACATTACACTTGGCACGGTTAAATTAGTAGAAAGAGGAATGATGGAGCGCTCCGTTTCTCTTTCGGAGAATTTGAGGCTGGAACTAAAACGAATTAGTAGCCTATGAGCGGCACATACCGCCATTGGATTGGCCTGTTATTTCACCCCCACCGTGCTTACTCTTTCCTAAGCTAATAACAATGGACTAATTTGATATCCAAAATTCAAGGATTTCGTGTGGATATAAAATGGATCGATGTGCAATCGGGAAGGCCGTTCCGTTCCACGGACCGCCTATTTAGCGTTACGGCCCCCAATGTATCCACTTTGGACCGAGTCCTGTCCGAGTGTTCTCCCCAACGCGTGGCTCAATGGCCGAGTACCGGCATTCTACTACGGGATTTATCGCATGTTCATGTGGTATCGATCTAGAGCCCCTTATTTTTGGTGGGTTAGGAGTGTCTCAAGAGTGTGTGGTTCAGACTCTAATCTTGCAGCTGGCCCAAATTTTCCGCATATGGCCCAGCTACGAACTGTGACCTGAATAAGGGCTTGTTAGACAAGAACGAAGATGGATGGTTCTTATGAGATTTTTGATAGATATTTTTTATTCAAAATAAGATAAAACAGGCGTTCAAGGTATCTTTACTAAACATGACATCGTCTCTTTCTATCCCATAGACATCAAACTTGCATCAGTCGTCAATAGGTCCCTTCCTACATGCGAAATCCTCAACATTTCCTCTTCACAGTAAGCTAGAACCGATAAGATATATTGAATATCCACTGCAGTGAGTGATACCACATTGGTTTGTGTCCCAAGTGTCGGTTCCTTCTTTTCCAGGCTGCAACGTAAACCCCTCAGGAGATCGATCCCGTCCCGGACCGCCATGTGGATCAGGAGTCCGTGCATCACGTGGATCTGCTTATGAGGAATTTCATACTCGCCGCATCGAATGTCAATTCCTTTGGCGGAGGGTGGGTAACATGGTATTGGAGCTTCATGTTGTTCCAAGGACGCTTTCGATTGGAACCAGCTGCAAGCCAACCGGATACACCATAACATAGAGAAGAACAGTTGAGAGTGGTGCTCCCTACTCTCACATTGCAAGGTTGCTCGGATAGTGGCCCATGCATTGTTGATCATTTGCATTCCCCGATCGAAGCGACCACGTTCACAAGGGTCTTGTGTCAAGCTGCTTAACTGGACCATCTTGTCTTGGAGATGGCTGACACACGCGCATTGCTGGGAAGCGATATTCGTCATCTTCGTAGTGATTCCCCCAGCGGGAGTATCATACATGTTTGAATTAAGTAGTGGTAGGCAGTCTGGGGTAAATGGGAGATCTGTGCTGGAGAAGGGAGCAAATTGAAGGCCATCTTCTGTATGTCCCCATCCCATTGCCTCCTCGGGCTGTAACCCAATCTCTCTATTTGATTGTGGCTCGCCTCCATCTGTGAACATGATCCACTTGCTGTCCCAGTTCAATGGCATCATTATGTCGTCTGTGGTGCTCATATCTGTTCTTGAATGCTCCCCTTCACTGGTTGCACTATTTGTGCTGCTGCTGCTGCTACTGTCTTTTTCATGTGGTTGTGAACAAAGCTGAGCGGTTTTCATCAACGCTTCCTGTCGTAGCAGCTGCGCCTTTTCGAGGGTTTTCCTGTTACGGGACCCTTTTGGCTTGCCTGTCCGAACTATATATTCATATCGGCAGGGTATGTCCAGCTCTATGCATCGAGTACATGGGCTCTCACCCGTACATTTGACCTGTTGAGAAACGTTAGCAGTGTCACATTAATCTATATCCCATTCCCATCTATCTCACTTTTGACTGATGACAGAAGTTACAAGCTTTGCGTAACTGATTATGCGGGCGCTGAGGGCTATTGAGAAGATTCGTCATAATGGCTGGTGGTATATATGAACGGATTGTAGAGTCGTTCTTGTTCTTGTATCTGGGCGATGGTGTTCTATTTACAGTTTCTTACATCTGCAATCATCTTACGCTGAGAAAAGCTTTAGCACGGCACACGTATTACACTAGCATCGGCCGAGCGAAAAACCATTACGAAGGAGATTTGGATCCTTTCGTACGAGTTTTAGCCCCCCGCGGCGCCACTCGAATGGTCTCCAGGTTCCCCTAGGGCCACTGGCAGGTTAATATCCATATCAGCCTAACCATAGCACACCCGCCAAGAGTGGCATCATGCCAACTTTTATCTGACTAGTGGAGAGCTTGTTGTAATACATGTTCATCTAGACCTTTTTCCTAACTCAGGCTAACCCTAACTGATTATAGTGGAGTGGATAAACTATTTAGCTGAGTTTACATGTCTTTTATATTATTCGTGCATTATAATAACGAAATTCTGCGGGCCAATAAAAACTTTTTACTTCTAAGCTCAATTAGGTAGCATTAGGATGCCTTGTCATCTTTCGTGAGAGTATCTAGACTTAAGAATTTCCTGTTTTATTGTTTAATTTGCCTTTAATTATACCTTATAGTAACTCCCTATGAAAGTAAGACTTCAGACTTGTCTCACCCTCTTTTCCAATAGAAATCTTAATATTATTAAGCCATAAACCTGTTAATATCTAAAATTAGGCATAAGGCACCCCGAGATATTAGGCCTTTAACCTGAATACCTTGGGGGCCGCTATACCCTCTTCGGAACCCCCCTTCTTTAAAATATTACAACATCAAGATACGTTTGCTCTACCTGAATGGGCTCCCCACTTCAGGCTGTTCGCCTTAAATGTGAAACTCGATTAAACACTGGAGATTACTCCAGTTCTAGCTGTTGTGGGATGCTTGAGTAGCAAGTTCGCGCATTTCCCTATTTCGCCTCATCTCTTTCACCATGTACGGCTCCCCCTTTCGCCCCTCATCGACACAACCTGCGGAATTGTCTCCTCTGAGTGGCCTTTCTCGTCCCATTACCTCTTGTCTGCCGTGTCGAAGTCGCAAGGTCAAATGCGACCGTCGGCAACCGGTATGTTTGGTGTGTGAGCGAGGCGAGTATGCCTGTTCCTACGTGTCAAAACCTCAGTCACCGGGGCTGGTTTCGGAGTTAAGCCGAGTCACCAAATCCAGTACTCCCAAGATCTCTTCATCCACGCTAGCTCGAATAAATCCCGGTCTTCAGCGTCTTGGTAACTTTATGGCGCAAGCGAAGGCATACGAGGCGTCGGAGCATTGTCCCTCGCCGCTAGACTCATTCACACCTACACGGTCGACACCAACCCCTCTTAATGCATCGCCCCCGCAACCGCGATCGCAAGAAGACGCACTCATTCTCGAGAATGGAGTCCCCCACTTTGTCTCTGGCAAGCACTGGGCTTGGATGGCAGCAGAGGTATGATCACTATTGTCTTTGAAGTTTGCACTAATGCCAATGCAGAGAGGTACTAACCGAATGTCCTCTGCTCTAGCTCCAAGACATACAATCTGTTCTTACGGAATCGCAGAATTCCTCCCCCGAACAGCCGCTCGAAGATGTCATCTGGGACGCCGATTCGCCTGTAGTACACGGGACTACCTTCTGGCCTGATACACGAGAGGATTGCTATTTACTCCTGAACGTTTTCTTGGCCAATGTCGACCCGATTCACCGAATTATCCATCGTCCGAGTTTGGCCCGTCGCTTTGACGCATTTATTCGCTCCCATTACCTTCTCGAGGACTATCACACCCCTAGCACATCGCGAACTGGCAGTGTTGTTAATCTCCAACAGAATACTAATATGGACGCTTTCGAACCGTTGGTCATGTCCATTTTCTACGCAGCCGTCAACAGTATGAAAGATACCGATATGGCCAATATGTTTGGCACAGACAAAACGTACCTCCTGAATCGATACCGAACAGGAACGGAAGTGTATCTAAAACGGCAGAAATTCATGACTTCGAGGAGCTTTGAAGTTTTACAAGCATTTGTGATTTTCCTGGTAAGTTTCAGAGAGCAAAACAAAATTCTTAGTATTGAGCTAATGAATTTTACACGAAGACCGCGCAATATCGGGAAGATGATTTGGGAAAGGTATGGCCACTGACTGGACTGGCTATTCGAATGGCCACGGTCCATGGACTCCACCGGGACCCTTTAGCTCTACCCCTGGGGACGATCGATGTGATACAGGTAGAGCTGCGTCGTCGCTTGTGGGCGCAGATTTGTTACTTGGATTTCCGCGCGGCGGAGGATCATGGGTTTGCGCCTTCGATTCATGAGTCGGACTTCGATACCTGTCGACCCGTCAGCCTAGATGATGTCGATCTGATTGAAGGGGTGGCACCATCGGCTGCACTCGCAGATGTTCCCAAATTCACCGATATGACCATCTACCTGTTACGGATCACCGCGGTCCAGTATTACGGGCGCATTATTCAGATAGCACTTGCTTCGCGGAAGCGATTGCGCGGTAACCTTCGTGGCCCTGTGAGTGAGGCTGAAGCATTAACGGAGCTACAAGGCCTGTTGAATACCGCTGAGACTCTTGCGAGCGAGTTTGAGAAGCACCTTGACGACCTCGTTCGATACTGCGATAAGAGGGTGAGTATGCAATCCATGGCCTTGGATTTAAGAGACCACTTGAAATCCAAATTCTGGGTCATGTTCTGGATTCAAATCTCTCGACAAGATCGCGAAAAGATCATCAGTCCCGCTATGAGAAGAAAGTTAGCATTCCTTTCCCCCCTAACCCTTCACAGGAAAAGTAAATCCGTTTGCTGATAGTATCGTCAAGCATATTCGTGGACGCCGCCACAGCTGTAGAGAATTGGTGTACTATCGCCTCTAGCAAGGCTTGCGAACCCTTCCAATGGCATATATTCTCCCACGCCGGCTTCTACCTGATTCTCTATGTACTATCCGAGCTCCGCAGTGCTGGCTTCCAATCCCCTGAATGGACCGATCTCCGCCAGCGAGGTCTCCGATTAGCGAACGCCATCTACGAGATTCGCGGTCAGAATACCACAGGTGCATGGCCCGCTATCATTTGGTTGGTGAATCGGATTCGGTTCCAACAGGGTCTTGGCTCTGATATTGCCAACCAGCATGCTGGGACCGCTCAATCTGCAAATAATCATCCCATGATGGAATCTTTTGGTGTCCCTCTGGGTCCGGCGGGAACAGGCTTTGATACGTCGGATTTTATGGGATTGGTCAATGTAGAGGACTTTGATTTTGCGGATTTCGCCAGTTTGGATCCGATGGGGTTTCAGGGGTTGCCACAGTGATTGATTTTCGGGCTTGCTGAGAAGTCGGGGTGTTGATTGATGTCCTTCATAAACGTATACGGAAGCATTCTTGGGATATCGGTAGAAAAAAAGCATTTGGAAATCTTAACGTATTTCTTCCTTTTCTTTGGTTGGAGTGTAGAAGGAGGATCGACCTTGGATGGATTGAGGCGTAAGCGTACCCTGGCGAGATGAGTCAATCAAGGGCGATTAACCAGTCCTGGGTCGAAATCAAATGTAATATTCATTCGGACAGAAACGACAGACATATTCATTTCCGTTGTGGCACTCCGTGTTTAGTATGTGAAGGGGAACTATTTTCGGAGAATAAATTCGGCGCTGCAACCATGTGCTTACCACGAGGATTGACTAACTGTCTGCTCCGAAATAAGCCCTGCACAGAATTGCTTATAGTAGAGCCTCGCTCATCGTTCGCTATGTCAGGAGCATCAAAAGTATCAAGTCCCTCCTCACTGACTGATTCATTTCCGTTCCTCGTACCTCATGGCTTTCCTCACGGGTCTTCCAGTGGGAATTCCCCCACTACAATGGCTCGTCCTAGGACTGTCCTTACCTCTCGTGATTGCGTACTTCTTCGGCGATCGAATTGTCACGTTTTACCTCAATGTGAGCCATTTGCCTACCCCCCGAACGAAGAAGATGAACACAGGATCAGAGATTAACTATAGAGACAGTCTATATACATCGCCATGTCCCCTGTCAAACCCGTCAACGGGGACAAGCAGCAGATGCCCGGTCCTAAATATGTTCTGCCGCAAGGCCAGGCAAGGGAAAAGATCATTGCCCCCTCTCAGATGAGCGCCAAATGGCGTTCAGAATACGGATCTATCTATCGAGTCTGGAACGGCGCGTGGCCTGAAATGTGGGTTTCTTTCTCCCATGTCCAAATTACAGACGGAATTTTTTACTAACGCATCATCCCTCAGCGTCATCACTGACCCCAAAGACGTCGAGGCTTGGTTTTCCGGAAAAGGAGAGCACAGCAAGTTCTCCTATGAGCCATCTGGGGCGCTGTTTAATTATGCCATGGGTCACGCTGTCGGGCTGATCAACGGCCATGATTGGAAAGTTTTGCGCAAATTGCTAGATCCCTACGTCAACTTCTCGAACTCGGCAAAGCTTACCCCAATGGTCTTCCAGCGGGCTATCGAGCATGTGCAGGCACTGCCCGCACAAACCCTGGATCCAACTAAGGAAAAGACAGTCGTTAATGCGTACCGGGCTGTACAGGCGTACCCGTTTTTCACCCAAATGGAGACTTTCTATGGACCCCTGACTGATGCCCAGAAGGAAGAAGTCTGGGCAATTGGCCAAATCTTCCTTACCCTCTCTACCTGGACTGTGGAGCAAGGCCTCACACGCAGCCGAATCTTGAAGTATATGTACTCGTGGGACTCATGGAAACTGATTCGGGAATTCGATCGCCGGTGGCGAACATTTAACCGGGATATCGTCAAGCAGAAGGCAACAGAAACCGATCTGCCGATTATCAGGCTGTGGAAGAACATCCAAGATGGTGAGATGACGGAGGACCAGCTTATTCATACCTTCACCGAGTCGATCTTTGCGAACCTGGATGTTACAACTTCTGTCATTACGGGTTGTATTCTGCATATTGCTGAGGATAAACGAATTCAGAAGAAACTGCAACAGGAAATCGATGACAACAAGGATAATCTCGCCGATTATGTCAAGCGACAGGATACTTTCATGCACTGGTGTTTCCTTGAGTCGATCCGACTGGAGCCGATTCCTGGTAAGCTTTGTCCTTTACAGCTAATTGCTTTAGAACTGTATTAACGTGTTCGATATAGCCTTTTCCCTTGCTGGTCGTTGTACTGCAGACAAAGTGCTAGGAGGGTATCACGTTCCCGCCAATGTAAGTTACATCTTCTTCCTTCTTTGTTCGCTTTCCTTTCCGCACATGATTTAACCTACTATTCCTTGCAGACAAGCGTTGTCATCGACGCACACTCCATCAATATCCGTAACCCATACTGGGGTCCCGACACGAAGGAATACCGACCGGAGCGCTTCGACGGTCTCAATCCGAGGGACTTGAAGTACAACTTGTCGACTTTCGGATACGGCTCCCGCAAGTGTCTGGGTGTGCATCTGGGTGGAAAGATGGTTCGTGGTATCTTGACTGCATTGTTCGGAAAGTATGACGTGGATCTGGAGGGCCAGACCAAGGATGGGGATGGCCAGTTTAAGACGGATCAGTCGAGCTTCTTTGCCTTGTATGTTGCTAATGTCGAGATGAAGCCGAGGAACCTGTGATAAGGGGTAGACCTCCGCAATGGGCTGGGTTGGGCCCTACCGTCAAGGAATTATCAAGTTAATACTTAGTTATTTTAAGCGCGGAAAATATCGATACCTGAATAAAGCTACCAGTAAAAGAGCCTTTTAGTCTAATAAGAGGTAAATTTGACAAAATAATATAAAAAAAAATACATCAAAACAGGGAAAGGAAACATTACATTTGAAGAATAAAAAGCCGAAGTGCAAAGATATTTGCTTATAAAATCCAGACACACCCTGCCATTGTTTGCTGAAAACCATGGTTTAGTGTTTTTACTGGCCAACATGCTGTCCAACACTTGAAACCTCATTTCCATGAATAATACCAACTCAGGATTGCACCAGTGTCTGTGGAAGGGGCTGTTAGACCTTATGCTTGCTTAACACTGCACAGCATTCCAGCCAGTGTTGAGGTTGATGCCTGAAACCCGAGTCCGTCAAGTCTATTTCACTCACGTTTTCAAGTATATGTAAGCGTATTTTCCATATTATTTCTTATACATCTTGATATATATCCTTATATGAAAAGTGATCTTTAACTGAGAAGTAGACCTGGCAGTAACCCTCCGGGTGGTCCATGATCTTGGACCCTCCACCCGCCTCTCCGAGGGTCAGGGTCCCTTATGAGCGACCCTGACCCGACCCTGACCCTCCGATGGTGTTCAGGCCTTGGCTGTCTTTCGGATCCACCTCCACTTTCCCACTCTCAAGCAGTGCTTTCACCATAGCTTCGTTTCCCCACTCGGCGGCGTAGGACAACAGTGTCCAACCGGAATGGTCGTTCGAATCCACTTCCACTTTCCCAGTCTTAAGTAGCAGATTTACCGCGGCTTCGCGCCCATGCATAGCAGCATAGGCCAATGGTGTCAGGCCATCGCTATCTTTCGAATCTACCTCCACTTTCCCAGTCTCAAGTAGCATCTTCACCACAGCTTCATTTCCCCACTGAGCGGCGTAGGACAACGGTGTCCGACCGGGATGGTCGTTCGAATCCACCTCCACTTTACCAGTCTCAAGTAGTGCTTTCACTGTAGCTTCATTCCCCCACTCAGCGGCGAAGGATAACGGTGTCCGACCGGAATGGTCGTTCGAATCCACCTCCACTTTCCCAGTCTCAAGCAATAGTTTTATCACAGCTCCACGCCCGTGCATCGCGGCATAGACCAATGGTGTCAGGCCTTGGCTATCTTTCAAATCCACCTCTACTTTCCCAGTCTCAAGTAGCATCTTCACCACGGCTTCATTTCCCCACGTGGCGGCGTAGGACAACGGCGTCTGACCGGAATGGTCGTTCGAATCCACCTCCACTTTCCCAGTCTCAAGTAGTACTTTCATCACGGCTTCACGCCCGTGCGTGGCAGCGTGGCCGAATGGTGTCGTACCGCAATGGTTTTTCGAATCCACCTGCACTCTCCCAGTCTCAAGCAGTACTTTCACCACAGCTTTATGCCCCCTTATGGCAGCGTGGGCTAGTGGTGTCAGGCCTTGGCTGTCTTTCGAATCCACCTCCACTTTGCTAGTCTCAAGCAGTGCTTTTACCACAGCTTCATTCCCCCCCTCGGCGGCGAAGGATAACGGTGTCCGACCGTAATAGTTATTCGAATCCACCTCCACTTTACCAGTCTCAAGTAGTGCTTTCACTACAGCTTCATTCCCCCACTCAGCGGCGAAGGATAACGGTGTCCGACCGAAATGGTCGTTCGAATCCACCTCCACTTTCCCAGTCTCAAGCAATAATTTCACCACAGCTTTATGCCCCCTTATAGCAGCGTGGGCCAATGGTGTCAGGCCATTCCTGCATTTAACATTGATTATACCTGCCTCCTGTCCGCAGATTGCAAGCCGAGCTGTTCCTAATTGTCCCTTTCTGGCAGCCCATAATAGAGCTACTTTATCTATCTGTGAATCTCGGGCATATAAAAGAGGAGTGAAAATTGATTTCATTTTGCTGCATGTTAGAGATAAACGACTTATATCTCTGAGTCGTTCCAGATATTCTCCAACGATGAGCCACAATTCGTTTGGTAGGTGGCAAACACCCATTCTGAGTATCTGCTAACGAGCTCTTGATATGTTGATATGTGAAAAGGCAACGGAATAAAAAAAGAATTTTCTTGTTCAGGGATAATGAACGAGAGCAATATAGCCCAGATAATGTAAGACAACGGGAGGAGAGGGACCTCGGGAGGGTCCGAGGTTTCCTTGATATATGCCAGTGCTGATAAGCCGGTATACCGGAGGATTTATTAATCCTATAGATGCTGTAACGTATTGTACAAGTTTCGTGCAAAGTACAGTATTATGTATACGTTATATGTAATACGTGTTACGGACCTACCCGTCACCAATCGATTGGTGCTCCACCGGGTACATAGATGGGCCACCAGGAGCCAACCAGTTTATCTGTCAGTAGATCACGTGCAGCACCTTCTACTAGTTTAAAAACTGGTGTATATGGTATCCTTTATAGAATGATATTTACTATTTTTTATTTTTTATTTACTTCCCCTTCTATTCTGAATCAATATATGAAACCTGTTTAGTTTTATCTATTTTATTAAATTTGTGGTGGGATGTTGAAGTTTTTAAACTAGATTAGATGGTTTGTGTGAAGAAATCTATAAAATTTTAGGTTTACTAGAAAGTAGTGGTGCTCCCATCTAGATCTAAAATATATATCTGATATCAAAATATCAAAAGTAGTACTTCCTACAATATCTCGTCCTCTACTTATCGGATCTTATTTAAAATAGAAATATATACTAATATAGCTACTATGATTTGATATTCTGAATTCAGACTCCACGTGATTAGTAGAAAAGGTCGTAATACAGCGATTACAGTGGCCAATTTATTAGATACCGATGGGCTTCAAAGGTAGGGCCCAATCCGGCCCATTGTGGAGGTCTATATATGGCCGGTCTCACTTGAAATTCGAACCATATCGTATCTATCAGCCATGGCCTGGTATGAAGCAAAATTCTACAATATCGTCGATTTGACCGTTTGGCAACTTAACTTATGCCCAGAAATGCCGTCACAGGTACACACATAATATAAAGTAACAATGCTACAGTTACACCACCACCTAATTATCACGATCTTCTCCGCGGAATCGATGTGATCACAGTGGCAACTTCTGTTGTTCGAGACGTCTGTCGAGCGCATCAGGAAACATACAACGGAAGGATCTGTGGTCTATCCAGTCGACATACCACCCGCCACCGAGATGTGGTACGAGGGCCAGAATCTGATCGCCATCATTATGGGTAGGCAGTGTCCCAATGTCTCCCCATCGCTAAATACTGACTATTAAAAGCGTACGAAGGCAAACAAGCAGTTGAAAGCTGGCTAGATGAGGTCAAAGGTCCAGGTTTGAAAACAATTGAAGATATCATCAAATTCAACTTGGACCATAAGGAAGTGGAATTGCCCGGGTGTATGTATCGCGCTCTGCGTTGATTGCAGTATTTTGACCGGAAGCACCCCAAAGGCCACCCGGATTAGGACCAGTTGCTGAAAGCTTCGGGGGATCCTCCATCACAAGAGGTATATGAGACTGTCAAGGAGAGGACGAAGTCGATTTCCAAAGACAATAGCATAGACAAACTGTTCCGCGAGCAGAACTTGCATATGCTTGCCTTCCCTTTGGACAGACTTATGGTGTTTATCCCGGCTGCGTCCGGTATGATCCAGCAAGCTGTCCCAATTTAATTGAAAGCTCATCTGATAAGCATACAGGCTACCCCATCGCAACAATGCCCCTTGGAGTCATCCCAGAAGACGGAAGACCGTACGGACTCGGTATACTGGCTCAGGCTGGTAGAGAGCATTACATGTTTCAGTTCATGGGTGCCTTTGGAGCTCGCTTCTCTCTACTTGTTTTGCCATGTCGTGTACGCGATGATAGACCTAATTCGGGATCTTCAAATTCCTCAATACAATGATACCTCTGCTAATGGCTAATGGTAATCGTAGATATTATCCTCCGAAGCGCCTGTCTATCTCTCTCTCTCACTAGCAACCCTAACAAAGCTTAATCGAAATCTTGATGAAATTCTGATCCCAAGGGGCAAACGGAAAGGAGTACGCCACACGATGAAGTTCAACGACATTTTTTTGATTGGATGCATAAAGGTACACGTTTCCTCTGGCTTCTCGTATATAAAGTTGGTAAATTTGCACCCCTGGTGTGGTAAACACCGAGTATCAAGTATTGAATTCAGCCTCACGAGCCACATTGACAGGCCCAGTGCACCTCATAGACCTAGTAATTGGCTCCGCTTGATCCAATTTGGCTTGAATGCATACTAGCCCATACAGTTTTAAATATGTTGTAGTTTCGATAGAACTCAACCAAGAAGGTTTTCGTTCATGGCATATCTCATTGGCGAACGGGGAAATTTCGGAGGCCTTGCTAAGCGAGATTTACTCCTAGTAAAAGGCTAAGTTGAGATCTAAGACGTACTCCGTACTTCACACGACATCACCACACCATTCTAGATCCGTCAGACCTGTGGCACAAAATTTAAACCAGCTCGCCTGGGTAACTGGAATAAAACTCTTTCTAAACTAGTTCAAAGTCCTCCAGACATTAATGCTTCGTATGATCCCTTCAAGAAAGGAAGCGGGTGCTTTGAACAGCAGTAAGATTCTAGAGTGCCCAAATTATTAATTCAGATTTTAGTGAACTTCGAGCTTCAAACTCAATCTTCGCCAAGATCCGTACCATGGGTTTGCCTAGAATAAGCTCGGCTTGCCGACACTTCCCGCCCGAGACAGAGATCGCGAGCGGGCCCCGTGCCACTAATCCGTTCTCATCCGTCTTCGTCCGGAATGGCGCCAGCGGTGCAACACTTAGGTTTGGTATGTAGATTAACTCGATTTAAAAAGGAGCCCCCTCACCATTATTTTGTAAATATCCCATTCATTCTATCTTTTTTTTATAATCGGAGACAGCTCACTCAGTTCTTTTTTATCAAACTACAAAATGTATCTCAAGCAGTACATTGCAGCATGTCTATTTGTCCCGATCGTTCTCGGTCAGAGGAATTCCAACGCACATTCTGTAGATCCATTCAAGGTCTTCACAATTTCTGCCGACAATATCACGGCCAAGTTCATCCCGTATGGAGCGCGATTGATCTCTCTGCTAGTCCCAGACAGGAATGGCAATGAGCAAGACGTTGTGGTCGGCTATGACGATCCCCGCCAGTATCTGAAAGACACACAGACCAGCCATACCTATTTCGGAGCTGTCATTGGTCGGATCGCTAACCGTATCAAGAACGGCACTTTCGAACTAGATGGAACCGAATATCACATTCCCAAGAACAAAGACGGCGTGTATACGCTGCATGGCGGAGACATTGGCTATGATCAACGAAACTGGACTGTACTTGCGTCCACGCCTTCCTCTGTCACGTTTGAGCTATATGATTCTGCATCCCAAGGCATCCCAGGCGACGTGATTACGCAGGCTACGTACTCTGTCGATACCAAGGCCACAGCTCAGAACCCACATGGACATCCCCGGCTGATGACCAAGATGGTCTCACAAGCGCTCACCCATTCTACTCCGATCATGCTCTCCAACCATATCTACTGGAATCTGAATGGTTTCCAGAAACCGACTGTCCTCAATGATACATGGCTACAAATGCCTCTCTCTGAGCGATTCATCGCCACGGACAGTATTCAAGTCCCTAACGGAGACATCTCGACCGTGGATAGTACCGATCATCAATCGATGGACTTCACCTCTGGTAAAATCATCGGTCGTGACATTCAATACACCCAAGGTCTTGTTGGCAGTGACGTGGGATATGACAACTGCTTTATCATTGACCGTGACCCGACATACTCTTCCCATGATGCACTTGTTACCGCTCTCCGATTGAACTCCAGCTCCACGGGAATTAGCATGGACATCGCAACGAACCAACCTGCTGTGCAGTTCTTCACCTGTCTGAACATGGATGGAACCATTCCCGTGAAGCCTTCTCAGGTTAGTCGAAACTCAGGAAATGAAGAGGCTGCTGGATTTGTTGAGAAATACGGTTGTCTGGCGATTGAGCCCGAGGGTTGGATTGATTCTGTCAACAACCCACAGTGGGGTCAGCAATCCAACGTGATTTACTCTCCTGAGACCCTCCCTGCTGTGAATTTGGCTACTTACACCTTTGGAACTGTGTGAGATTTGTTTCTCATGGTAAATTCGATCCTCGTTTTACCGGTTTTTGTTAGTTTTATAGACTTTTTGCAATTTCAAACCAATCTTCAAGTGTCTTGGAGGTATTATTGTGCTTTTTGGTAATTTGACGTTTCTAAACAGTTTAGCTTGTTAGGACCCTAAGTGTCCAATATTCACATGCTCGATTGAGACGTTCGTTGGTAATAATCGGAGTGGATCCTCGGGCTCATCTGCGTTTCAAATGTTTCCCAGGTGCTACAGATAGGGTAAGCAAATAAGCTGCTGGCCAATATACCACAGTCGAGGTTCTAGCGCCCTAGTTAGTGCATACCTATTCTACTACTCCGTAGTAAGTTCTCCGGGAATAATTTGTGAAGACCCACTGATAGCTTTTTTCTAAAAATTATGGAATGACACTCTATTTACGGCGAGTTCAGCCTTATTCCCTTTTTAGAAATTTCTTCGTTGGCCCATGAATCTTTTTTTCCTATATTTTTCTAAAATCTAAAATCTATAAATCTATAAATCTATGTCTAGTACAAAATTGTGCACACAAGAAAGAAAATAACAAAAAAGAATAACAAGCGGGGGCAAGGGCCAGATAACTTCAAATCAAGGTCAGGACATTATTGAGTGCGAAGTCCGCTCGCAAATTCCCAAAGGGAAAAGGGATTTCTCCCTGTTGGGGTGATCGACCAAATTTGGCTTTTGCCAGAATGATCAGCGCCAAATATCTCGACTAAGCTTTCTTGGCGTAGTCCTCAAGGACAGATTCGGCGATCCGCAAGGCCATACCGTAGAATACTGTCATGACATGAGAGGACACCTGAGTGGGAGGGATGGATCCGTCAATAACACGGAGGCCCTGAGTACCGTAGACCTTAGCCGTGGCGTCGACGACACCACCAAGCTCGCGGGACATCATAGAACAGGTGCTCACAGCGTGCCAGTTAGGACGGAAGTTCATCATCACGTAGTCTTCCCACTGCTCAACGGTGGCATCCTGAGGCAGGTTGTCACCGGGAATAGTCTCACCAGCATAGTACTTCTTCATCTCACCGGCGCTAGAGAGCTCACGACCCAGCTTGGTGGCAGCGGCCTGGCCGAGAAGATCCAGCTCGTTCATGAAGAACTTGGGGTCATTGGCGTATTGCCACAAATAAGGGTCACTGCTGAGAATGTGGACGGAACCGCGAGTAAAGGGGATAAGGTTCCAGATATCGAAGTTGATCTTGCCCTCTGTGTCGAAGAAGAGCTCGGCAAATGCAACATCCTCATCGAGGAGCCAGTTGCGGTAGTTCTCATATTGGATCTTGAGAGCAGTCACGTTGTGGAAACCGCCGCGGGCAACGGTCTCCTCGGCCCATTGGTCAAGCTTGGTATCCAGCAACTCAATACCCTTAGCGGCGTGGTCGCCGAGGACCTCGGTGAAGTTGGCAAAGTAAGCGGCCTGACCTTGTCCAGGTGCGTTATTAGCGCGGGACCGAACTGTGGTAGTGGTCTGGTCTTGCATGTTGAGACCAACAGGGAGTTCGAGGAGCTGCTTAACACCAGCCTTGTCAAGGACGGACTTGATACCGATACCGGAGTATTCAAGAATCAAAGGCGAAATGGAAGATCCAGCGGCTAGCAGAACTTCCTGCTTAGCGTAGACATTGAAGTTAACAGCCTTGTTGGTACCAAAGTTCACACCAACAGCCTTAGGGCCAGATGCGGTCTGGTTGAATAGAACCTTTCCGACTTTTTGGCCAGTCAGGATATGCAGGTTATCGCGCTGATAGTTGGGAAGAAGCCATTCGCGAGCAGCATCAGCCCGGATCTGGTTCTCATAGAGGTTGTTCGGGATCATCGAGACACCACGGGGGTGACCGCAGTGGAAGTCCTTCTGGATAGGGACACCGGAAGCCGAGACGGTGTTCATCAGGGCTCGCATTAGTGGAGACCAAGGCTTGCCGTTGTCGCGAGGACCAGCATGAACGGTTCCCTCTGTTCCATGGCAGGCAGGGTCGTAGAAGTGACCAGCTTCAATCTGGGCAGCGGTCGGGGGACGCGAGCGCTCAGCTTTCTTCATGTATTGGAAGACGTTGTCCCAGTTCCAGCCCTCCATGCCGAAGACCTTTTCCCATGAATCGATCTGGACCTTGTCAGGGCGGGTCCAGGAATCGCCGTTGATCAAGGTCGAGCCACCAAGTCCGAGGCCAGACTTGATTTCTCCGGTTCGGTTGTTGATGAGGGGAACTGTGAGATAATTCTGATCCACACTAGTTCCAAAGATCTCCCCATAGGCGTTGGGATCCTGGATGATTGGTCCATTGTTGGATTCGTAGAATCCCTTCTCAATCACCAGGACTTTGATCTTCGGGTTGTCGGACAGCTTGGCAGCCACGGCCAAACCAGTCAAACCACCGCCAGCAATGACATAGTCGTAGGACTTTCCTTCGACCTTGGTAGGGTCGGAAAGAAGGTGAGACTGTACATCGATCTGCTCGGTCGGGGTATAGGCCTGGACGGCGGCCACAGACAGGAGGATGGAAGTGATAATAGTAGACTTCATGATGGGGAACAATGACCTGATTGTCAATGTATACAGAAACGAGAGGAAAGGAATGTAGTTTTTCAGATAACTAGTGGCGACACCAGGCTATATATATTCGAGCGTCTTCTATTTTGATGCTATACCAATACCGAGACACGAATGGTTGAAAAGTACCCATGGAGAGCTCTAAAATCCCAGTTACAACACGTGGTATGGTGCAACAGGGGTGCATATCAATTGTCAGTATCACGGAATAGGATGTACTAGAGGATCTGCAAGAAATAAAGTTCTGCACATCTTGTCGAATCGGTGCCTGGGACCGGTCAAATTATCTTCATACTAACTTTCTTGCACCGGTGTCCTATCTAGGAGGAATAACTGGGCAACTACGAGGGCTTACCTGTGGATATTACCTGTCAGATAGGTAGGGCATTCGTCAGCCCGGGTTGTCGAGATTGAATCAATCCTTCTATGCATATTCCGTATAGTATACGAGAGAGCGGGTCGTACTGACAGGTAAGAACCGCAAACCCCTTCAGCGCTATATCGCCTGATATCATGTCTGGCTAGGTACGGAGTACTGCTCAAAGGGACAAACTACATCAAACTTGTCGGATGTAAATCACGAAACCAATGCCTGAACTCGAATCATGTGCGATAATACATGGACTATGCATGGTCATTTGAATTCAGTATATGCTTTTGAAAGGCGCCAAGAAACTGGAAATCATGTTATTGAGAACCTTGTTAACCAAGCCAGCAAAGGCGACTTTCTGTATGTCATGTAATCGTATAATTCATGGAGGTTGATAAGGAACGCTCCGGAAATAGACCACAGGTCTAAAGTCTCGCCCACGACTGCTTCGTAATTTGAAGATATTCTTCAGCCTGGCTCTCGATCTGGGCCTTGATATGTTACTAATCGGCATCATATTCGATCGGGTCCATTTTCGGCATGCCGAGAAAGTGAATGTCGTCAGAAACTCAATACTACATTGGCGCCAAGAATGTCTAGGCAACTGCTTCACCGAACATCGTGGGCCGTGTGCGCGATAAGAGAATGAACAAATGATACCCTACCAAGTGTTCACAATTTTGAACAATTGGAATCAAGGGAATCAAGGGAATCCAACAGTAGTGGAACGGTGGGGAATTCATTCATATTGGCATCTCCCTGACAGCAAACTGTCAGTCATAGATGAACTGTTATTATTCTCCAGCCTTGCCATCCAATTACCAGAACAAAAGGAAGAGACCACATGAAAAGTTTTTCAATATTTTTTACAGCATCCCTTCTGGGGCACGCTGCCCTTGCTACAAAGCTTTATGCGGCATCGTACGCTGGTCATGTTACCTCATTGGACTTATCCGAGGCCAATGAGCTTTCTACCCTCTCCCAAACAACTGAGTGCGGCAGCAGTCCGTCTTGGTTGATGCTGGATAGTCCCAATCGTGTCTTGTACTGCCTCGACGAAGCAATCGGTGCTTCCAATGGCACTATAACCACCTTGAGGACTCATCCAGATGGGGTACTCACCAAGCTTGCGCAACTGAAGACCCCCGCCGGCCCTGTGATGTCTGCCATGTACTCTGCACCTGGGATCCCTAATCGCAAGTTCTTTGCTGTGGCACACTAGTAAGTATCCATCGAATCTGGAAATAGTCGCAAGTGAGATGGTACGAGCTGCTGACTTCACTCTGGTATCACAGCTCAGGATCTTCTGTCACCTCGTATTCGGTTGATCCTGCCCAGGGACTTTTCAAGCACGAACAAACCTTCACATACCAGATGACCGCTCCTGGTCCGATCGCTTCTCGCCAAGATGCCCCCCATCCCCATGGAGTAGTTGTCGACCCTACCGGTCGCTTTGTCCTGGTGCCAGACCTTGGAGCTGACATTGTCCGCGTCTTCCATGTAAACCCGCTGACTGGTCTGCTTGAGCCGATCGAGCCACTAGCCGTGACCCCAGGCTCTGGACCTAGGCACGGCGTATTTTGGGCCCCCCGCGGGTCAAATAGCACATCTTCATATGTGTACTTTTACCTTGTGCAAGAGCTAAGTAACGAGTTGAGTGGTTTCCGGGTCACATATCCAGGCAACAAAATTGCCTTCCGCAAAATATACGAGGGAAGTACCTATGGTCATGAATCTGCTCCTGCTGGTTCCAAGGCCGCTGAAATTGCAATCTCGGTAAGTCTCGGGCGTTTCTTCCTAAGATCTCGTTCAATGCGATCCCTGGGCTAATGTCATCTTGTCCCATAGCCTGAAAACAACCACATCGTTGTCTCCAACCGTCTCGACAACACATTCGGCCCAAATAAAGACTCCTTCGCTGTATTCATGTGCGCTGACGCTAGTGGAAAAGAGGCTGAGAAGGTTTCTTTCCTGGGGTTATATCCAGCTTATGGCTCCTCCCCTCGCCACTTTAGCATCGCAGGTACTCGGACTATGGTTGCGGTGGCATTGGAAAGCAGCCAAAGTGTTGCTGTGGCTCAGTGGGACAAGCGTTCCGGGGCTCCTGGAACCCTTCTCTCAGAAAAGAAACTAGATGGAGAAATTCCGTCTGTCATCTGGGATCTCTAGATTGCTACCTGTCTCGCCATCTTTCACCGGGCTTGTTGTACCTTCAGGTTCATTCACAATTTGTAAGGAATGTGACTTGATTGTATTTTCCTCACATTGTCAGTTTCATATGTATCGAAGTTCAACCCTTGTACATAATATCGGAACTCTCTAAATGAACCCCATAAGATCAACAACATTTGTAGGCGACGATGGCAGAGAATAACATGCACTTACAATATTTCATATGGTGTATCTGATACTAATATCCTAAGAGGTCCTTAGGTATATAGCTAGAAATAGAAAGAAATGTGGGTTTAACATAAGCGGAATATATTATATTCTGACCAAAGGCGGAAACTCCAACGGTAAAGCTTATATATTAAAAAAATTGTCAAAAATGGCCCATTTCGGCTGCCGTATATGGAATTATTAGAATCTTTGCTTTCCAAATGCACATGTTCATACTCGGTCTTTCACTCCCGGCCTTAAAATCTGATTTCTGATTTGATCGGACAAGAAGTGGATCTCGCACGAGTCCCCACATCTCGGCCGAGGTGGATACATAGATCATAGAGTTACTATAGTATTAATTAGAATATTGCTAAAGAATATATAGGAGTACTCAAAAGCACTATATGTCCCTAAAAATTATCCACAGTCTCCAGCATTCAATATGCAACCCCAAAGAAGCCCACAAGCAACGCCATGGGACGAGCGAACGGACTCCCCAGATCAACTCACACAAGACGATAAGGCGGAACTCGGAAGCACACATGAAATCGATCCTCATGGTTCAGAACACGTTCGCAGAGGATTCCTCCCGTGGTTATGTTTGATTCCAGCCTTGAAGGATCCTAGGCAATATACCCCGGGGATGAAGTGGGGATTGACCTTTATTGTCGCGATGGGAGGACTGGTTGTTCCGCTGAGTAGCGGTGTTTTGTTCCGTAAGACGTCCTCTTCCCCATCCAGAACAAAAAAGCTGATATTCTGAATTCCAAACAGCCTGCCTGATAGAGATCTCCCAGGATATGAATACCTCCGTGTCGGTGGTGAACTTATCTATCGCTTTTGGCTCACTCTCTGTCGCTATCACTCCCTTGTGGTGGTCATACCTCGCAGAGCTCTATGGTCGTCGACTGGTATATATCTCATCCTTCTTATTGCTTGGACTTTTTAGCATTCTGTCTGCTATCAGCCCCAACATCGGCATGTTCATCGCCATGCGACTCCTCGGAAGTGCCTCGAGTGCATCCCTTCAAGCCGTCAGCGCCGGTACCATTTCCGACCTGTTCGAAGCGAAAGAACGTGGTAAGGCCATGGGAGCCTTCATGCTTGGTCCAATGCTAGGACCCATGTTTGCCCCCATCATCGGTGGCGCACTCACCATGAATTGGAGTTGGCGTAGCACCCAGTGGTTCATGGTCATCTATGGCTGGGCCGTGTTCGTGGTGATGGTATTCTTTATGCCGGAGACAGCTACGAACCTCGAAGAGAACCGCCGTCAAAACCGAAATGATGCCAGTAGCCCGGCTAAGAAAGTCGGCTACTTCCTCCTCAAGCCCATGGAAGCTGCTAAACTCCTCCAATACCCTCCTATCCTTATTACGGTTTATTACACCAGTATCGTCTTCGCTACATACTACCTCATCTGTGTCTCCATCGAAGACACCTTCGCTCTGCCACCATACTCCTGGAGCTCTGTTATCGTTGGTGTGGCTTATATTCCCGGTGGTCTGGGCCTACTCTGTGGAGCGATCGTTGGCGGCCGCTGGCAGGATTATATCATGGCGCGGACCGCGAAAAAGGAGGGCCGATATGACGATAAGGGGGAGTTGATCCTCCACCCGGTAGATCGTCTAGGTGAGAACTGTCTCTTTGCGGGCATTCTCTTCCCTGGAGCACTCTTGTGGTGGGGATGGGCGGCTGATAAGCATACGTTTTGGTTGGTCCCGGTACGTTCATTCCTTTCATTGCTCTCTTACCCATTCCGATTTCAAGCGACTAATCTTATAATAGCTCCTCGGAAATTTCTTCTACGGAGTTGGTGGAATGATTCTCACGAACGTGACCATGACGATGCTGACGGAATTTACACCGAAAAACTCTACCATCGGCGTCGCCGTGAATAACCTCATGCGAAACAGTCTGTCATGTGTCAGTGCCATCATTGCGCAGCCGCTATTTGATGCAATTGGTACGGGTTGGTCGTTCACTGCTGTTTGTTTATTCTGTCTTCTTAGTGGTGTTCCGTTGATCCTTCTGCGGATCAAGCGGGATGAATGGAGTCGACAGATGAAGGCCACGCTAGGGAGCGAATAGGGGGATTTTCTGGGTTAAAGTGGAAGGGGAGGGGTTGGGAAGCCTGACATCTATCATTACTTCAAGTTGGATGACAAGTTGGACTGTATCTCTCGGGCGAGTAGGGTTCAGGTAATCCTTCAGCGCCAACCATGTATAACTATAAAACTCTCTATTTATAGGTATCCGTTAGTATCAACATACCAATTAGCATTAATATTTCCATGTCATTGAAGATTGTGCTCATCCTCAGCTAAATCCCTTGCTTTTTGAACGCGCTGCTCGGCTTCTGAAATGTTGACTTGCTTTGCTTCCAAGCGCTGCTTTTTCTTAGCATCAGCATCCTTTTCACTATCAATCTATTAGGTGATAGGAGCGAGTCTCTAGTCCAGAACATATTTTACATTTCTTGGTCTATTAGCAGCTGAAACTCCGTAATCTGAGACAAATTGACGCCAGCGCAACAATGTGATTGTGCCTTGAAGGACGTCTAGCCAGGTTTGTAATCTTTTAACTGGATCTAGCTTCTGCTTTAGGATTTAGTCTCGTTTTGGCATCTTCCTTTAGTACCATCAATCTATTTTCTAGATTTTGGTTGAAACATATATTTTTAGTGTATGTCATCTTAGCACCGAAGACGAGGCAACTAAGCATGTGAGCAGTGTATAATATATATAAGACCATAGGAAGCAAGGCAAATCTGGGATATTGAGAACCAGCAGAGCAAAGTCAAGGGGGAAGATTCGTGATGTGGACTTTTCATTGTTATACATGATTGGCGTCGAAGGATTAGTATATCCGTGGATATTGATCACATTCAAGCCTATGTTTCAGCTACGGACTCATTAGACTTTGATATTCATGTTTTGAATTAATTAGGACCTATGGCCTGTCTCAACTTAGGAGCACAGTCTTGTTGTTCCGGATATCATCCTTAATATGTGTCCAATTTACTACTTTGTTAGCATGATTGAATCAAATGTTCTGATTTATAGATTCTCAAGCTGCTAGCTTTCTTGAAGAGCGCTCTACATACGTACTACATAGTCCCAACAATAGGGTTTTGTGTTGTGAAGATCTGCGTGTTTAGCCCCTTGCATAGATCGGAATGAGAATCTGATACACTTGCACAGAACGTGTTCCCTCAAATGAACTGTATAATTGAACATGAGTGGGTTAAAGATGCAATGGAATTATTGATGTAACAAAGTTGAATATAACGTTCTTGTGCATCTGAATTAAATCTTCTTTAATCGCGACAGGAAATCAAGGCGATGCCTTTTGTACAGCGCCTTTCCAGAGGGATGAAACCCCTGGAATGCTGAGATCGATGAGCCAACCAAAACCGCCAAAAGGAAGGAAGGCGCAGGGAAATAAGATGGGCCTGCCGAGCCTCGAAGGGCCACCCAGAAATATGACTGCATTGAAGGTCCATATCTGTTCTTCTCTTTCAACCATCTAACAACCAACAACCAACGACAACCAACCCGGCCCAACTCCATTCATTCATTCTGGTCTCAATCCTGGAGACCAACACACATCCCTTTATTGACCGTATCCACCACTCTCGTTTTCTTCAGTCCAACACTCATAGCCATCCGCAAGTCCTACAATACTATACATCAACTCACCGTACCCCGTTTGACATATAAAATACACAAGAACAACACAAATTAGCCACAATGCACTTCACACATCTCCTGATGGGAATCGTATCCCTCCTGTCCGTCACAACAGCCATTCCAATGTCGAGCAATAAGCCAACTCCTACATCCTCCATGCTCAAATCTCTCATCTCGCCCAGCTCCGCCTCAGTCTCTGCATCGGCTTCACCAACCCCCTCGCCAAACCCTTACGAGGCATACACTTGCCCCAAGGGCAAGTTCAAATCCTGCTGCATGTCCGTGCAGCAGACAGGCAAAGACGTAATCAAGCCACTTGGGGAGTTAGTTCCAATTGTCGGCGGGTTGGAGCTTAGCTCGGCTATATCTTTCCAGTGTATGTTTCTCTCATTCGTGATAACAGTTGAAGTTTGCTTGCTAATCTATTCTACCTTGTAGGCAAGAGAATGGCCGATAAAGAGCCCCCTGCGACATGCAATAAGACGGGTTATAATCCCATGTGCTGCAATAGCAATGATACTGTATGTATTTAATCCGTCTTCTTTTGTTCTATTTCCCAGGAAGAGAATATATCTAACTGTCTATTTTAGGGCGTCGGGTTCAACACTTGCAAGCCTTTCGATCAGGTTAAGAAGGCATACTATGCTCAGCAAATGGAGGAGAAGCCGGAGACTCAGGCTGAGATGATTATGGATATTCTTACTTGATGTCAACTACCTGGCTGGTCTGGAACTCGGTGACATGAGTGAGAAATGTACTTGAGGGTTGTATGTTGTATACTGGCAATTGGGAGGAGGGAATGGTGGCGTCTTTTGGATTTTTTTTCTTCCTTTCAATTCGGTATTATATAGATACTTTATCTGCGATAGTTTACTTCTATCTTATGTTTCTATTTGTCTTTGCTTCTACTCGTCCATAAGTAAGAGACCCATTGGTGTTTACAAGGTTGTACTCCGTACCAGCTGTTTATAGTATCATACATACCTTCTACAAAATCAATATGATCGCGATGATACCTCTAGAGTTACTTGGAATGCAACAATTACACGTACATGTACTCATATTTGTTTTAAATCAACATGAATGACCCGCTGCGGGGGGCCGTAATCATACAAACCGCAGCATTGGAAAGGCATTGGAAAGGCAAAGGCCTTTCCATCGATTCAGATTGAATCGATTCCGTCTCAAGCATTACTCATACATCGTTTCATGTGCACATTTTCAGTGCCATCCTCGCCCGCCCTGGGGAGGATGAGGTCCGCGTTGTCCACCTCGGCCCGCAGAATAAGGGCGAGGGAAGTGGTGCTGACCCCCGGGCACGCCGTATCGGTGTCCATTGTGCTGTCCATTGTTCTGTCCCTGTTGCATCTGAGGAGCGTTATTCTGTTCCTGCTGCATTTGAGGAGCATGGTATGCGGGAGGGAAAGCAGACGAGGACACGGGCCCGGGTGGAGGGAAGGGCATTGTCGGCATTTGCGGGTGTGGCCAAGAACCATAGTTGGGTGCTGGTGCTTGGGGATAACGATTGTTAGGTCCCGAGGGATAGGCGGGGGGGACAGAGCTGGTGTGTGCGGACTGATGTTGATATTGGTGGGGAGGCGGGAAGTGTGAAGAAGACGATTCACGAGGTCTGTAGTCACGACTCCGCGAACGACGTGGAGAGCGGCGTGGAGAACGGCTTCTTCCTTGTGCGTCATGGTGATAACGGATACCATGTCTGTATGATCCTGGTCCACTTGATTCTGACTCAGACTGACTGAAACTGCGACTACGACTTGGACTTGGGCTGCGCAAGCCCTCAGTGTCCGAATCCGCGGTCTGACAGAAGTCAAGGGACCATCCATAGTAGTGCCGGCCATCGAGGATGTCGGATGTGTTCTCACCCCGGATGACTGTCTGGCCCATCTCGTCCATGTCGGTATCTGGATCGTACAAGATGGCCTCAGGGTTGAATAACTTGTCTACATCGCCCAAGTAGGATTTGACGGCATCTACCAACTCTTTGTCGGCGGGACCTGCTAGTAGTTGTATCGGTTTCACGGACTCGGGTTGGATCGGAAGGGTTGAGTTCGGGATAATGTGAGGCAAAAGGTTGCCGGCAGGAAGGTCGTACCAAGGCGTCGATGGATCTCCATGCGTAGATGGTAGGATAAACGGCACATCTTTGCCGGGCTTCTTGGCTGGGTTTGACTCGTTGGCCGTGTCATTGGAAGGCGGGAGACCCCCCATGATGACAACTTCCCGAAGTTTGTTGATCAAGTCAGGATGGAAGTAGTCGTGCTTAGACCAGATATCTAGTAGATCATCTAGCCGTCGATGGTGTCGTGGGTTCTTTGCGCGGTCACAAGTCGCTGCGTAGCTGACCAAGTTGACGATATGCAAGTGCAGGGACCCAGTCACTATGGTGAAGGTGAAAGTGGTGTCTAGGTGGTATTTGCAATGATGTAAAAGATCACTGAGCAGATAGAGTATGTGGAGGCGTTGCCGCTTGGGTGAGACTTTGGATCCAGTGGGCTGTGGGTGCAAGGACGCAGCGAGAGCTTCCAGGTAGTTAACAAGACCCTTAACCCTACTAGATGAAAAGGCAACGAAGCGGATCAACCAGGCTTTGCAAATCTGCGTGGAAAAGATACTTAGTAAACAGGAAAGTGAGAGGTAATAAGAGGTGACAAACAGACCTGAAGGTTAACTGGGGAACAATGCGACAGCGCGCGCTCGAGGCAGGCATGGAAATGGCTTATCTCATCGTGGGGTACTGAAGTGGGATCCGGGCGAAGGAGAGAAGCTGCAAACGCAGCCTTGAGAATAACAACACTATGTTGCGCCGCCATTGTTGACAGATCTGAGGTGAGAGAGAAAGTAAGACATTATTCCTGATGGATGTCGAAGGTCAAGCAATTCCCGTTATCGAAGCTTTTATCGCACGTGATGGATATTTACCAAGTCGCACTTGCATGTTGTCTCAACACCGCCTTTCTATACCGCCTTCTACTACATCAATGCCACTATCCAACTTTCCAAGTCCTGTTGTTGTTCTTGTCTTGTTTTTCTTGTTGTTGTTGTATTTTTTAACGCCCGTGATATAGGAACGAAGCTCCTGTCTCTGTAGAAATTGGTAGCTTCTCTTTGATTGAGCGTGTCATCCTTATTGCAGGGGCCATGCTAATCTTCTCTGTGTGTTTTTATTTGACCATATGCCCCGAAGGGCTTCCAAGTCCTGTCATCGCACAGAGGCACATATACACATCAAACGAGTCCATTCTATCTATGTCAATATTCAGTCCTTCTACCTTATTGTTTCATAAAACCATGGTTATTTCATTATTTCTAGCAAGATCAGGACGCCTTAGAGAAATTCTTGTAGAATATATGTGATCGATTAGGACATGTATGTATCCAATCGGATTGTATACTTGGGAGGAATATCGTATTAATTATCGGCGGACCTACTCCGTACAACATAACTCAATAGGGATACCTAGGTAGATTTACCTCACACGTACTTCGGATATATTCAATGCACATGTATAGATAACGAGTACATCTCAGGTACATTCAGGTTTAGCTTTGAGACTACATACTACGAGATTCTTTGAAATAAATCACTAAAATCCCATATTTTACGTCTTGAAACCCCGCGATGGCGTAAGATACAATCTCTAGGAAAAGCGCCGATCAGTGTGCTCGAGGATCAGGCCATATGCCCCGCCCCCGGATCACTTGGGCAATTACATGGCCTGACTACTATGACTATGTTTTTATATAAAGACTTTTCCTCTTCCATTTTCCGTTAGATTTACACTCTACTATCAAATCAAATCAAAACCAGAACCAAAACCAAATCATAGCTCATTCTACACTATGGCTTCCATTGCTTCCCAAATCGCTCGTCCCTCTATCCGTCATTTCTCAGCTCACCGTCCTCGTCCGGACACTCGCGCTGCTCGTGCCGTCGCCATGGGTTGCATCATATCTGGTGTAGTCCTCCCATTTGTTCCACCTGCTCTCGAGAGCTCGCGACAACGAAACTTGGGCATATCTACTAGCGCCAAGTAAGTCTTGAAATTATACATTATTTGGTGGAGAAACCAACCCGACATACAGGAACCCCCCACTTTGCTTCCATGCGCGCTAGTCGCCATGTCGAGGACTCGCAACTTTGACGGGAACCGTCGGTGCAGGCGCTGACACAAGACGCTCAGGTCGCGATGTGATGCATTATGAACAGTTTGGAATTCGGCGTTTTAGGTTCTCTTTTGGCTAGCACCATCGGACAGTGCTAGTATCATTACATTATTATTATTGAAAGTGGAGATGATTAGACCACTTCAATCATCGCTATGAATGGCAGGCATCATTAGACAGCCAACTTTGCGTGAATTGATCCATTATTGATTTGACTCGGAGTTCGAGTGTGTAGCTGCCATTGAACGAACCACATGTAGTACAAAGTAGATCGAGTCCGAAGAATTCCCCGCCTCTATATTATCCACTTTATCCCACAATTCTCTATTTTTCAGTTTGCGTACGGAGCATTCCGTATCGAAATATACAAGGATACAAGGTAACCAGCTGCTCAGCTAAACCGGTTCCCACTGGGAGGCCGGTACGGCTGTGCCGTTTCGTATTTCCCTTTCTCCGACACACGGTCGGTTTCGGTCAGGGGTTCATGCCGGGTAGGCGCCGGATCGTGAGAAGCTTCGAGACTAGGCGATGCGGCGTCGTCGGGGGCGTTCTGGAATCGTGCCATGCTTGCTTGTTTCGAGCTAGGGTTGCCCGGGATTTGCGTCTGCGCTTGGCGCTTATGCTCATCCTCCATCCGCTTCAGTTGGGCCTTGCGCTTGACTTCGGCTTCGAATCGGGTTTGTCGGTCGGCATTGATCGATTTCTTCGCGAAATAGTACGCTCCGCCACCGGCTGTAGGGGGGTTAGTCTTATTCACACGTGATTCGCTGGTTTTGTCATTGGGCCTTCGCCAGCAATTGATAAGTCACATACCAAGGCAAAGGGTGCCCCAGCCCATCCTATTCAAGTGAGAGCCACATCAGTACTTATGTTCCAGATTCATATTTCATTGCTCAGATAGAGGCATATTCACTCACCAGGTAGATCGAATCTAATAGGCAACATAATCAGCAAGATCCAAGAGGAATTGGGTAGAGGGAATTACCGTATTCATGGTGTACAATCTGATAGTTGGAAGTGTGAAGGAGCAGAAAAGGATGCTCTACGTCAGTCAAGCGGCTATGCACGGACTGTGATTGGTTGCCTCAGGCCACGAATTATCCACCAGGCATCCATGGATGACCAGGCATCGTCTGAATTATTAAGAACGCCCTTCTGCGTCGATCATTTTCTATCCATCATATATATCCTCGCTATAGTAGCCATCCAACCCCTGTCAAACACCTTTTCTCTTCCACCGAGACCTACCTCGTTATTCTGCGATAATCTGTCGATCTTTTTTTCGCCGCCTGTTCATCCGGCGCCGCATCTTGGTTCCATGCCGGAGTGAGATATCTTCAACCGGGGTGTCGCTCCGCCTCACCGGAGGTTCACTCGTTGAGATACTGCTTTCTTTGTGCTGACCCAGTCCAAATATGCCTCCCAAACGCAAAGCGGCCGACAGTAAGTCTCCAGTGCATATCTCCAACTGACAGGTGGACAGGTGACTGATTATATCCAGCCGGTCGGTCCAGCGGTGCTTCAAAGCGGGCTACACCAGTCCCCGACATCGATATTTCCAGCAGCGATGAATACTCGGACCAGGAAGAGTTACCGGAGGAATCTAGCTTAAAAGGTACAGTATGTTTGCTCACCAAAAGTGAACCAGACACTAATCGGAGGACAAAGCGGTCGTCAATAAGTTCTCTCTCGAGGCTTTCGGCAAGAAAAATCAGGTGGAGAAGACGGACCCCAGATTCGGATACAAAGATCTTTCTTCGCTCCCATTGAAGCGCGATCACTACAACCGGCCGTTATGGATCGAACCTCTGAAAGGCACAATCACCCTCGAGAGCTTCTCCCCGCTGGCACCCCAGGCCCAAGATTTTTTGACCACTATCGCGGAACCGCTTTCCCGTCCGACCCATCTTCACGAATATCGCTTGACCGGACACAGTTTATATGCGGCGGTCTCAGTCGGTCTCAAACCGCAGGATATTGTCGAGTTCTTGGACCGTTTGTCAAAAACGCCGCTACCGGAAAGCATTCGGACGTTCATCATCGAGTTCACAAAGTCCTACGGAAAAATAAAAATGGTGTTGAGGCATAATAGATACTACGTGGAGACAACAGATCCTGAAATGCTCCAGCGATTGCTGAAAGATGAAGTGATCGGCCCCCAGAGAATGGAGAATACAGAAGGAATTATCGAACGGGCTGCTCCGAAAATGGGTGGCCTTGTCATTCCTGGAACGAAAGATGCAGCTGGTGTACGAGAGACGACTCAACAGGAGGCCGCCGCTGCTATAGCTAGAGATGAGACCGAGGAAGGAGGGGCTGTGAACTATGGCATCGACGACATTGGCGAGGATGAGACTGAAGAAGCAATCACGTACAGTTTCGAAATCCCCGCTGCTGGCGTCGAAGTCGTCAAGGCCCGCTGCCAATCGATTGGATGTCCTGCCCTGGAAGAGTACGACTTCCAGGGAGACACGGTCAATCCAAATCTGGATATGGATTTGAAACCCGCAGCGCGGATTCGATCCTACCAGGAGAAGAGCTTAAGTAAAATGTTCGGTAACGGACGAGCCAAGAGTGGTATCATTGTGCTTCCTTGTGGAGCCGGTAAAACCCTTGTGGGTATCACTGCCGCCGCGACTATCAAGAAAGGCACTATTGTCCTCTGCACTAGCTCCATGTCCGTGGTTCAGTGGCGAAATGAGTTCTTGCGGTGGACAACCATCGATCCCGGCGATATCGCCATTTTCACATCGGACCATAAAGAAAAATTCAAACGGTCAACTGGTATTATTGTGTCCACGTACTCAATGGTGTCACAGACCCGTGCCCGGTCTTATGATGCCCAGAAGATGATGGACTGGCTTCAATCAAGAGAATGGGGTATGATGATTCTTGACGAGGTGCACGTCGTGCCAGCATCAATGTTCCGAAAGGTCACATCTGCAATCGCCGCACAGAGCAAGCTTGGTCTTACTGCGACACTACTTCGTGAGGATGACAAGATCAAAGATTTGAACTTCTTGATCGGACCCAAACTTTACGAAGCAAACTGGATGGAACTTGCTGCCCAAGGCCACATCGCCAAGGTCCAATGTGCCGAGGTGTGGTGCCCGATGACGACAGAGTTCTACTCTGAGTATCTGCGGGAAAGCTCTAGGAAACAAGCTCTGCTATACATCATGAACCCTCGCAAGTTCCAAGCGTGTCAGTTCCTGATCGATTTCCACGAGAAGCGAGGCGATAAGATTATTGTCTTCTCTGACAATGTGTACGCTCTCGAGCGATATGCGCTGAAGCTGAACAAGGCTTACATTTACGGTGGAACTCCCCAAAATGAACGCATGCGTATTCTGGAGAATTTCCAGCATAACGAGCAGGTCAACACGATCTTCCTGTCCAAGATTGGTGATACCTCACTCGATCTACCCGAGGCCACTTGTCTGATCCAGATCTCGTCTCACTACGGTTCACGTCGTCAGGAGGCTCAACGCCTGGGACGAATCCTGCGAGCCAAGCGCCGAAACGATGAGGGCTTCAATGCTTTCTTCTACTCGCTCGTGTCAAAGGACACCAATGAGATGGTCTACTCGGCCAAACGCCAGGCATTCCTGATCGATCAGGGTTATGCTTTCAAGGTCATCACCCATCTCCAAGGCATTGATAATTATGAAGGACTCTCGTACTCGACACCAGCGGAACGCCGCGAGCTTCTGCAAGAAGTCATGCTGCAGAATGAGTCATCCGCCGATGTCGAACAGGTCAATGATGATCTGTTCTCGATGCGCTCCGGCAAGCGAGTGACAGCCAAGAAAGGCGGTGCTAAACGCAGTGCTACCACTCTTAGCGGTCTGGCTGGTGGTGAGGATATGGCCTATATCGAGTACAACAAGAGCAGAAACAAGCAGCTCAAGGATAAGGGCCATCACCCGTTGTTCAAGAAGATGGAACGAGACCGACAACGTCGCAAGAAGGAGAGAGAGGCCGAGGGCTAAAACCTGAAATCCGTTGCTGTTTTTGTCTTGCGGTTTCCTCGCGCGATTCTCGTACCCCTCAGAATGACAGATACCCCCGAATTATCACCTATTAGAAACAGAAATATAAAAATAGAACACGATTCGTGTTAAAGAATATCCGACTATGTAGGGCTAGACTTAGATCCTTCGTAATCAAATTAATAAGACAGGTCAGCAAGACCGGTCTGGAAACGCCTCCACATGACGTTGGTCTTCCCGAAACCCCCGACTTCTCCGCCTTTTTTCTAATTGTATTACCTTTGATAGCATTGGACGTCCTGGAGCTCTAGCTATTGCTGACAGTTGTACAGATTATACAATACGGATGGCTTGAACTATATAAAGGACATGCTCCTCTCCCCTTTTCAGTGTCACAAACATTTGTTCCGAAAAGCTTCAACTACAGAGTCTCGGCTTCTTCTAAATAGTGCTCGCTATTATTCCAGTCTACATTCACCATTTCGAACAGTCTGCACTTATTCAAAATCTTCTGCTCTCCGCATTCCGCGACTAGCCGCGCAGTACAGCTCGTATAGTACCAGCACCGGGAAACTTCCACACAGTACTCCATTCACAATGGCCACCGCTACTGAAATCCATCTGTCACCGGTGACAGATACGGGCATTTACAGCTCAAATGTGAGAGACGACGCTGCGCGCACAGCGAGCGAGATCTTACAGGATGACATGGCCACCCACCATGTCTTCTTCAATGACCAGGGGTTCCATAGTATGTACCTTTCAGGCTAAATCCCCACGGAATATATCTAATACAGACAGATCACATACCCCATCAAATTCTTAGTATCTACGCTCTTGGTGCAGCACCAGGGGATATCAAGGCTTGTTATGAGCGGAATAAGACATATCAGAGACCCGCCCTTCCAGCGAGCCAAGATGTCATCCAATCCATGCATGATGCCGCTAAATTCCAGGAGTACGCTGGGAAGGAAGAACATTACCCCAACTACCTACGTTTCTTCCAGCATGAGATCGATGCAAAGGGCGTTGCCGGCGTTCTGCGCGAGTATGTCTTCGCCGGGGATGAGCGAGCTGAGAGTATGATGTGTCGGTTATTTGGCGGTAAGCGCCTTCTTGTTATACCAGGCTATATTAATATCGTATCTCATGGTAATAAATTCAGGTCTCGTACACCCACTTATCCATTTGGGTTTCGGTATAGAGTTCAACCAACCTGCGATCGTGGCTCAAGCCCTTGCACAGGCAGCTGTGCATGATGACTGGCTGGGTCGTGCCTTCTTCCTACCCGCCGAGAAGATGGCTGGTGGCGTGGGAAAGCCTGGACAGAAGTCTCCGCTCCAGCTCTTAAATGAGATGCGGGCTGACAAGGCTCTTATTCAGAGTGTCCAGTGGTCTGACTCTAATAAGATCAAGGATGGAGTTCTCCACAGAGCACCGGAGCAGATGCTCAAGTATGCATCGCAATTCACTGTCTCCGAGGACCAGGCCGAGGAGCGGTTGGCGGAGATGATCAATACAGTCTGTAAGTCTAGCCTTGGAAGTATGTATCCGGAATCATTGCTGAATTATCTCGTTAGCCTACTATACCAGTGCAGCCCAGCGTCCGACTAGAGAGATGAGGATTGATTTCTTCTTCATCCATTGTGTCAATTCGTCTATCTTCTTTTCCAAGATTATCATTCTCCCATACTTGGATCAAAAAGCCAAGCTGCGCATGTTGGAATGGAAGGGACGTATGGATCTCTTGATGTATATTTCACGTGGAACACCTGACCTTCTGTTGGATGAGGTGGCGAATTATCCACTGAAAGAAGACTGGCCGCAGATATTCGCGCGGAGTATTGCGCATCCCGGCGATGATGGACATCTAGCAAAGCTAGCACGGGCTTTGGCGCATGGTCAGAAAGTCTGCGAGGCATTTGAGAGTAAACATCCCGAGATGCCGATCAAGGGATATATGTGGCTTAGGATTGGAAATATAGGTAAGTAGTAGGATTTTATATTATACATTTGTTACCTTACTAACTGCTCGATAGCTGTTGACTCTACTGTCGAGGAGGCAGATAGACCAATGTGGGTTCGTTCTACTGGATTTGATGAAGCGTGGGAGCCGCACCAGGCCCATATGTGAGATGGGCAACATGCCATCATCAGGATATCTGTTATATTCTTTTTGTAACGTCACCCAGAATGTATCATCTAATACCAAACACAGATAGTATCCATGGAAAGGTTGTTTTGTACATTTCAAGCGGTTTTCACTGGAGTCTAATGCTTATCTTTCTAGCTATAGGACTAATAAAGGAAAGAAATATCTTAAATAAAAAGATGCCTAAGAAGACAACTCAAAAGACTGTCAAAGTGACTTAACAAGGCCACATAAGCAGCTGACTAGTTTTGTTCCTGGCTATAGATACATAGAGACTGGGGAATACTTTTGCATGAGACATAGTGGACAAGGTGATAAGTGAATGTACAAACAGCCGGGTGGCTCGAAATCAAGTTGGGAAGCAAATCGGAAAAGAAAAAGGGAACGGCATCCAGCAGAAAGTGGAATATGCAAATCATGAATCGAGAAAACGCGCTAAATAGTTAGACATAAAGGGGGTCATATTAAAAATCATAGCTAGGGGAGATCGGCGTTCATCGCAGAAATTGTCGAAAATCCTAGTCTTTCCAGAACCAACCGTTCTTCGACGTATTGGACTCGGTCTTAGCACCTTCTTGAGGATGAGACACCTCAACAGACTCGTCGCTTTCCTCTCGGCCGTCTGCGAAACGCCTCGTGTTGACGGTCTTACTCTGAACCGAGCCATCGGGTAGCCGCACGCGTTCCGTTCGAGTCATAGTGGAGACAACACGAGACTTCGCCTCCGAGACAGCTTCAGCTGGCTTGGTCTCGATATCGGTGGGCAAATCCTCGGCTGTTTCAGGAACTGAATTTTTGTTTCCGCCAGACACAAGATCGATCCAATTCTCATTATCGTCACGGCTGTGTTCATCGACCCTTGGAGTGCTGCGTCTGTATTTCTCAAGTTCTTCCTGTTGCTGCCGTCGCTCGTCGAGGAGGAGACGTAGAAGAGGGCTTTCAGAGGCACCGCGGAAGAATTCACGTTCGCGGTTCTCGATATCACGTAAGAAGCGCTCATACAAATCCAGCTCGCTTTCAGCCTCCTTTGTATCCGCGGATTCTTTTTCCTTTTCGGGTAGAGACCAAGACCAAGATCGAGGCTGGTTCTGGTCTAGGCCCAGACCCACCCCAGAGAACGTAATGCCCGACCAAGGCTGACCGTCTTTGCCATTCACATACTTCCATTTATCTCCCAAGCTGCCTCTTTTCACAAGTCCTTGTATCCAATCTTTTCCGGCTTCGGATCTCGTGACGGAGGCATCGCGATCAAGCATCGGCTTATCGTTCTCAAGTCGGAGTAAATCCTCGAAGGCTTCTCGCCACTGTGGTTCGGAAGGATCACGATCGGAGCTGAGATGCAAGGATGACATGATAGATGAGAAAACACCCTTTTCACGGTGTGCTTGGTAATGTGCTTGGTGTTCTAGATGGAGAGGCGAGTACGGACTAAACAAAATGTACCCAATCGGCCAAGTTGGCGAGTCGGTGTCCTCAAACATATCCCTGACGAGAAGATTGTGGCCGGAGTGTAGGAGTTGCGAAGCAAAGGGGAAGAGACGGTCCTCCAGCCAGAAACGATCAAAGAAAGCATCAAGGCCAAAGAAGTCGGATGGTCCATTACACCACTTTCTCCAAGATTCAGAGTTTCTCGAATCATCGTTGCCAGGCCATCGTGGTGCATTATTTCCATTGCGTGCGTCATCTCCATCTCTGTTTCCCGGATAGCCACTCCCATGGTCGCGGTCCGTTGGAAAATTGCTGTTCGTATTATCACCAGTTCTCTGACGAGCCAACCGACTGTCATAGCTGTGATTATCCACAAATATATCCCAGTGGCCGTTGTGAGGTTGTGTCAGCATTGAAGGGAGCCCGGTAATAGATTGAAGCATGGTGGAGACCTGCTCATCGGCGTAGCGCCGGAAGGCGACGAATGGGTTGGTCTCATCATCAGTCCAGTCCTTCTGTGGAACGTCCTTTTTGATGTCTTCGTTACCCATGATTATAGGATAAAAGAATAGCAATACTACCGTGGTAGGTTGGAAATGAAAAGCAGAGTTGAAGAGTTGCAGAAGCGAATACATGTTGGGGAGCCCCACTCAACGCCACGTGATCCCCAATGTATTTTTCTTGTTTCGTTTTGCGCATGTTCCCTGACAACTATACAGTATGTGTCTGACTTTGTGATATTTCATACTCCCTACTCTTTTATTCAGGCTAATTCGGCCCAGGACAACGGTTTAACAAACATACTACAAATGTCCTCTATCCAGAGACGTTGAGCCGCTGGCGTCATTCCAAGCTTAGAGCCCCACTAGAGCCAAAGCCAAGAACCATAGTCCAACCTCCGAAGTACGGGGATATGCCTATGTTTTTGTATCAATAATCGGCCGCTTATGCGGTTTTTTTAGACATTATTTTAGTGTCGCTTTCCAGATCGTCCCTCTGGCTTCGAGGCTCTGTGTACAATCAATCATTGCGTGTCCCCTGCTATATAGGATGCTAGTTTGATATAGGAGAAAACAATCCAAGCATGTCCACTGCCCACGCCCGTAATCATAAGTTACCCAATCTTAATTGCTACAGAGACTTTAATATCAAGACCTAAGCCAGGTTCACAAAACATCTTAAAAATTGCAAGACCCACACGATCTACATCTAATCAGCCTTGACACTCTTCTTCCCTCCCTTGCCAGTAGTCCATCCCTTAGACTCCCAGTACTTGACATTATCTTCCATCTTCTTGTATGCCCAAGTAAACGGTGGGTCTACAAAAACCAAAGTTAGCACCGAACTCAAAAATCCAAGAGAGAAAACATACAAAGGAACTGGCGTAAATCATGACGATTATCTTCGGGGGAGTACTGCTCAGCATGGTAGCTAGGCGTAAGAACAGTCATCTTATGTCTGTTGATGGAGTAGTAGTAGAAGAAATGGCGGGTCTTCTCGTAGATCTCGCGCGGGCTGTACTCGTTGCCCCACATGTGGAGCAGCTTCTCGTACATCGAGTACGGGCCTAGCTTGGAGACCTTTCTCAAGTAACCGAAAACGCCTAGCTGTGCGTATGTAACGCCCATGTCGGCTTCGTCGGATTGAACGTAGTCGTGCGTGATGGGTTCCAGCTCGGCGGTGGGTGTTGCGTGGATGAATTCTTCGAGGATTGGGAGGCCGAAGCTTTCGCCGGACCAGGAAATGAATTTCTTCAGGTCGACTTTGCTTACGGAGCCGATGGGGTTGAGCTGGTTGTTTTGGTCAGTCGGGAACAGATGTAGTGCTTGGACTTGCGGAGATGGACGCTTACATCGGCGGAACTGGCATCGTACTTGGTGAGATATCCTCGCAGACTAGACGAGTTGGGTTAGTCACCAGGCCAGCACTTAGTGTAGTTATGTACCGTACCATTCTGCGCTAACAGTTAGTGAATATGTTCAATAAGGTACGATAGTCGTGTTTGGTAGACTTACCATCGACGTTAGAGGATGCGAGAACGAGCAAGCCACCACCACCAGGGCGTTGGCGCACAGTCGGCAACAACGAGGCAAACAGGTATGACAGAACCATTCTGAGCCGAGCCTGCACATTCTGAAGCGCGGCATTCTCCGCAGGAGAGCCACCGTGCATTTTGAAACGGGGCTGGAAGTTAGTGATAACAGTAAAGAGATTCATGATAGAAGTGACCACAGTATCGAAATTGAAGTCAATGTGGTAAGACCCGATATCATTGGCCAGTCGAGTCGCTCTGTCTCGTGTCTCCCGGCCCGAGTTTTGTGTGCCCATGTAGCTGGTATGGAAGATAGATCTAGGGAAAGGAAATAAGTTAATCATGGTCAAGACTATAACAATAAAGAGATTTAGCTGGCAGGGGTCCAACACTAAGAAGACTTACTTGCAAATTTCCTGGGTGGTGGTGGGAAGCCAGTCCGAATCTGCTGGCTTCGCACACAACCGGCGGACATCCATGATGACCTGCTCGTTCCCTTCTCCCACTGCTTTAAGCACTTCGCGACACATGGAGTGCACAATGATTGCCGTGGCACAGCTGTCAATACCACCGCTCAGAGGGAGGAAGAAACCGGCGGCTCCGCATCTACGAAGGTAATCCCATAGCCAGCATGCAGGCCCCAGAGCAATCTCCTCCTCGGGAGCGTGGTACCGCGGCTTCATAGGCTGAGAAGTGGCGAGGCTAGGCTCGGCATCCTCATCCCGGCGTGAAAGTCTGATATCAAGGTCAAGGCGGACATAGGGCGACTGCTTGCTCGCCTGCATGCCACGGCTTGCACTGCACCGGTAGGTGCGGACTTCTTCGATGTCGACCGTAGCAGTGACGACCTCGACGTCATTCAGAGAGAACTGTGAACCTTGGGCCACGATTTCACCGTTGACAACAATCATAGCACATCCGTCATAGTACAGACGATCGCCATCGCAGCCTTGCTGATTGGCATAAAGATAGATACCACCGCTCTGTGAGGAATAAGAAAAGTGCTATACCATAGAATTGGTTCCCACTCACCAGTTTGGTAGCTTGGGTGATCAAATTGATCCGAGTGTCAAGCTTCTTCAGTTCGTGGTGGCTGCCCGATGAATTGGAGATGATCTCAACACCTAATTCAAATTAGAAAATGAGCGTCGTCTTCTGGAAATTGAGACTCACCAGCTAGGCCATATGGGACATGGGGGCTAAAGTCAATTGTTAGCATCCAAACCCACATAGATAGTTCAACACCTACCCATTAGGGGTAAATAGCTCCTCACACGTCTCAAGACCGAGACATGTATCTCTTGTGCTGATAACGGCATCACCGAATGGAACCTTGTACTGGCCAGTGATCTTTCCAACGATTGATTCCAAATAGTAGTCTTCCACCTCTTGCGGACGTTGCCACGGTGTAAAGTGTCGGTGCTCGCGATAGTTGCCATCTATAGTGAAATCAATATTAGCGACTATTTGTAGTATAGGAAGCAATTGAACGAACCATTGGCAAGCCACATCTTTGGCCTAATCAGAACAATCTTCCGGTTGTAGAAAATCACACTTGAGAGGATATATCAGCTAATGCAACACTAGTTAATCCGGAAATACTGACCGACAGTTGTAGCGCACATTGCGATGGCGGACCGGCAATCCGACATCTACCACAATATCCTGACAATCGGGATGGTCGATGATGCGGGCGAGCATCTCCCATGAGTGCAAAAAGGTGTCGCCCTCGAGGAAACCATCCAGAACTCCATAGCCGGTAATCTCGAGCTCCGGTCCAACGCGCAAAGTGGCACCGGCAGCCTTAGCTTGCCTAATGCTCTCAATGATACGCTCCGCGTTGCCCTCAAAGTCGAGAGCCCACTGGTTCAAAGAGCTAAAAAGAGTTAGCGCGGGTGTTCTAATATCCAGAGAGTGGGTAGGTCAGTCTTACCATGTTGCTAGAGTAACCAGGTGCCCCATGGTGTTAAATATGACTGAAACGTCCGTCTCTTGTGCTTCGCACAGAGGCTCGTCGGCGATAAGAGTCAAAAGAATGCAGTCACGTGTGTGGGGAGCTCAAATTCCCCCGCTCCGCTTGTAATGATGTAACCGTAAGTTACTGTAATATATTCTGCCATCAGCATTCTCGGCTAAACTCCGATCGAAACCTGTAATCCGCTCGTTCACGTCTGCCGAGGTGGGCCGCTTAGCCGCTGATTAATGCGATTCCTCTGCGGCTTGTCTATCCCGGAATCCCACGTTCCTGGTACCTTACATAGACATAGACTCATTATTGATCGCGATTTTTCTTGTTGATATATTTACCATATTAGACATTCATTGTTGGCAACCTAGCATAATGAGCACAACCCCTCAGATCCCCACACCGGCTCATATGCTCGCTGATTCCATGTTGTCCCGACACTTCGGCAAAGAGACGGTCAATTACTTCTCCAGTAAGAACGTATTGAACTCATATACATGGGGTGCACTAGAGCTAAGTTACTTACAGGCTCTCCAATCAACCGTCTGTCGTTCTTGCGCTCCGACCACCCATTCCTGTCTACGGCTTTGAAGCACCCTTCGGCCAGATTTGTGTTGATGAACAACTTAGCGCCTTTGACTCCGTCGCCGGCGCAGCTACACTATGCGAAGTATGACGAGATACGCAAGCTTGTACCCCATGATACCTTCGACACATCCGAGGAAGACATGATCAAGAGCTATGATTCGCGTAAGACACACCCGACCCTTATATTCCTCGGACTGGACGAAAATCGCAAGGAAGGAGGGATGGCATGGAAGATCTATTCTGGAACGCCGTATTTTGCAGTCGATGTGACCCCCAAGGGCTCTGAAGAGCAACAGGTTGCGGCGAAGGATGTGATTGGTGCCATGGAGGCGAAGGGACTTTCTTTCTTCCAAACACGAGTTGTCATGACCTTCTCCGCAGACGAAGGTATGAAGATGCAATCGTAATATCCAAATCGATAAGAGGGAACTGATGAAAATCGGGATAGCTGCTATCTACGCACAGGCACGTGCGCTGATGGACTGGAACACTCGCAACACCTTCTGTGGCACATGCGGCCACCGTACTTTGGCCGTGAATGCAGGAACCAAGCGTGCCTGCCCGCCGACGGATGTTGCACGAGCAACCGAGGGTAAGACGGAAGAGCGTCCGGAGTGCAATACTCGCACTACGCTGTCAAACCTTTGCTTCCCGCGTACCGATCCCACTATCATCGTGGCAGTGGTCTCAGCTGACGGCAAGAGGATCCTGCTTGGGCGCTCTAAGCGGTTCCCACCCGGGTGGTATTCCACCTTGGCTGGATTTATTGAGCCAGCCGAGTCAATTGAGGATGCTGTCCGGAGAGAGGTGTGGGAGGAATCAGGCGTCACTTTGTCCCGTGTTGTTATCCACTCCTCGCAACCTTGGCCGTATCCAGCCAATTTGATGATCGGCGCCATTGCTCAGGTCAGTGACCCTGCTCACGAGACAATCTCTTTACAGCATGATCCTGAGTTGGAGGATGC